ACCTGGATGTGCATCTTGCCCACCTAAGTAAGGTGTTTGAAATTATTGCGCGAGAACCAATTTTACGCAAATTTAAAGAAGTGCATCTTTTGTGCCTCTGAGATTCCCGTGTTAGGAAACTATGTAAGCGCAAAAGGTGTTCGCGCTGATCCGTAAAAAGTTTCGGCGATTTATTTTTGGACAGTCCTAAAGAAACGGAAGCATTTCCGTCAATTAATGGGTTTGGCCAACTACCTTCATCCTTACGCAAAAAAACTATGCGTAAGTAATTCAGCCGCTGTCACAACTGCTGAAGAAGGGTGCCATATGGATATGGCGCCAAGAGCACCAGTCTGCATTTAACGAGTTCTAGGCAAGACTCTTGACAGCGCCAGTATTAGAGCTGCCTAATCCAGATACCCCTTTTCATATTTTTTGCCATGCTAGTGACTTTGTAATAGGATGTGTGTCGATGCAGCATGACGAGAATTTAAACTAACGTGTGATGAGTTACCAATTTCGGCAGCTAGAACCTGCCGAGTGCAATTATCCAGTTCAGGACAAGGAGCTGCTAGCGAATGCGCTACGCACTCGTAAATTTCTGTGTTTACTTGCTTGGAGATTGGACTTTTATCATCTTCACCGATCGTGAGTCCCTACGGACCGCGACTTAGAGCCCGAATCTCAGCCAGAGCATGGCGCGTTATGTGTCATTTTTTCGCTGAGTACAACTTTTTGGTACATTACAAAGCCTGAATCAACAAACATTGTTGCAGACGTTTATTGAGGAGACATATATAATCCCCGCGAAGATACACCGGCTGTAGCCACGACGAGCGCTGATGACGACGATTGAATCGCGTGTGCGACCCTATGAATTAATATCGCGACTGTGTTCGCGGTAGTCCCGCTGCGTGGTGACATCGTAGAGGCGTATTCACGCGATGTGTTTACTCACCGATCGTTTGCTACTGTAGCGATCCCTCGGATGAAAGATTGCTCTCGCTCTCAGCTTCCACTCGCGCCCACATTGCGCGGTACTCCTTAAATAGCAAGCTGCTCATGTATCAAATAGACCGGTCGGACACTCGTCGTATTGTCGTCCCACTCGACGACGATCTTAGTGATACAAGCACCACGATAGCGCCACAAGCGGCCATCTGGGTCGCAAGAAGACGTAACTTGCTTTGTCTCGGAGCTTTTATTGGCCCCACATTATAAGTGAGTCCGCATGTAGGTTCGGTCCTATGAGGTGTGCCAGCGTGTGAAGCCGGACCCGTCGGCACAGACCCCGCATTTTCATCGTCCAATAGCCACGCGTCTTCGGAATTCCGTGAGCATGAACTTGTTTTTGGATCGCCATCCAACGCGCAGGAACGCACATCATCGTATGTAGGTTTAGTAAGATGGCGCATCTCTTACCTGTCCCTGCTTTCATCACGGCCGAAGATACCGCGGCTTTCTTTGTAGACATGGTCTCTACACATCATGGCATGCCCGCCACGATTGTCTTCAATCGTGATCCTCGATTTACGGCAACGTTTTGGTCTCGCTTGTTTGAGATTCTCGGCACTTGTCTGATGATGTCTACCACCGCGCAACCTGAAACAGATGGACAGACTGAGCGAGTCAATCGCGTGTTGGAGGACGTCCTGCGCAGTTGCGCCACGTCTTCCGCGTCATGAAGCGGGTTCCTCCCATGACTGATTTCGCGATGAACAATGATGTTCATGCATCGACTGGTTTAACCCCCTTTTTCGTGAATGATGCCCGCCATCGCGCGCCCTCGCTTTTCTTAGCTTGGCCGATTTTTTTAATCTTGTTGGGTGAGGGATACAGGATGTCTCGGTACACTGCCACCTTTGCGAAATACGTTACCCAACTCACTACATGCGGTGCAAACGCGTTCCAAGTCACAGAACATTATTTCCCCGGATAGCGAAGCTTAGTCTTTATTCTAAGTCCGTCTGTCGGAATCTGCGTTGATCGACGAATTTGTTATACATCGTCGATCTGTCGCGCGATATGTGCGCGACGCCATTGCCGCTGCGATCGATAAGCACAAGGCGTCCGCAGACCAGCGCGGGCGCAAGAACTTTGAAAAGTGTAAGGTTGGTATTTTGGTTTTACTATCGGCTTGTCGTCGATAGTAAAACCAAAATACCAACCTTACACTCAACGCATCAGTAACAAACCTCGGCACAAGAAACTATCACCATAATTTATTGGCCCATTCAAAGTGGTTAAGGTGAACGGGGATTTCTACGGACTGAACACTCCTTCGTTCATCCGTCTACACCCAACTTTACTTATATTATAGATATAATTATTTTATACGTCGGTCGTCTTAAGCGTTACTGGCCGTCGTACCCCCCGTCGACGACTGAATCGACGTAGGTGCATAACGCGGTCCCTGGTAGCGCGAGGATCTTAGCGGATCGGTATGGCACAGCCCGCACCACTCCGCGTTGTCTTGTCGAAGTTAAGCATTTTACTGCTTCAAACGCTCGAGTCGATGAGCGAATCCAGCAATCTCAGAAGAAGCCTCCTCCGCGATACTCTCCGCAGCCTCAGCCATCTCCCGTGCTTGACTCGCATCACGGTCTAGAGCGAACGTCACCCAACGATCGACCTCCTGGAGCTGCGCCACGACCGAAGAATTTGGCAACTGTCGTTTAGACTTCGGTGCCTTACGCTGCGTACAGCGCGACGGTCCACCCCCGTTGACAGCGCTGGAAATTGAAGTTGGCTTGTGTAAAGAATCTTAAAACATATTGAACCGCCTCAGACTGTTCATGGCGCTGCTCGCGCTCGAAAAAAAGTTGTTCCGGAAACGAGCTACTACCGCTTTCGCTGGCTCGGTTAACCCCTGAATAGCAATTCGTGGAAACCTACGATAAACTTCTCACGGACGTTGTGGATATCTTGATCGATTACGATCAGGAGGTGAGCGAGATCGCGAGCGTCAAGCAGCTTGCTATATTGGAGGACTCGCTGATGAGAACGCCGCGCAGGTCTCGATGCTGGATTCTTGCCGTTTGATAACGTGTTCTTGAGGCTAGTGAAGAGTTTTAACGCATGTATATGTTCATTCGAGTACACCCATGCGCTCGTTGGTGTTCATCACGCAATCACTCTCCTATACCAATCCACGTGCGCTCCTTCTCGGAACGCGGACAACCTCCAAGAATGGTCACCCATTGAGCTCGGTTTAACCGCGCTACGCCGTGGCGTTCATAATGATTCAGCGTTCTCGCCAGTGAACAAAGCAAGAAGGAAGGCCCGAGGCCCACGACAACTCACATACCATCTCGCGGGTTTCTGCAAGTCCATAACGACGACGTTGCTCCTAGCTTTACGGTACGAGTTTGGCAAAAGATGCCTCGTTGTTCCACCGGCGGACGAATGCATTCCAAAACTCGACCAGTGAGGCTTGTCTTACGGCACGCGTCAACGAAATCGGTTGCCCCCTTGTGCGCTACATTGTCGCCATATCTCGCGTATCTCTTTATCAACACTCGAACGTGCAATTGCGCTGCAGGCGTACTGCTCCTAGACGCGAAAACTCTTCGCATATGTTCGCGGATAGTTGGGAGGCTCCACGTTAGACGGTGCCAGTAGTTGGTCGTCGTCGTTGCTCGTTGCTCGTTTGCCTTGTTCTAGTGGTTCCAGTAATTTGTTCAGGTTCATGATTGCCTGCGATCGCCCGCTTAAGGTTAATGATGCCGTGATTTAAATAAGTCGAAATATATTCTGTGTTTTGTCGAACCCACGAGTGTGTGCTAGTTCGTGTGAGGGGTGGTCTCACGGGGTGTACCGCTACACAACTAGCCATACTTAAATACATATTACATAAGTAGTTTATATGCTACACCCGATATAGCGGGTGTAGCCATTCGTATCTCTATTCGAAGGTAAGTAAGAATCAGTCTCATCAACAGCCAAAAGGAGAAGATATTTGTTGTTGAGTGGTTCCCATGCGTTTAGGGACTATCGTACTGAGTATAAAGAATATATAAAAAAATCAGAGCTGAAATAAACCTTAAGCGCGCTACTTATTGCGCGCTCCCTTACGCTTCCTCGTAAGACCTAGAGTGTGTGTAAGTAACGGAGATCTAGCCCCGTTACAAGCAGAGATGACGACACGCGGCAAATAAATGACGTCCATCTTGTAAGTGTGCGACTGTCCGTCAAGCGCGTAACGCTTGATGTTATCGCGTGTTAGTTTCGTCAACTTCGCGAGTGAATTCTCACTAGGTCCCATGAGATAATCGATGATTCCCGCATAGAAAAAAGGAATTATTTGCATAGGATCTAGCGATCTGAGTTCGGATAGACAGCATAGGTGTTAAAATCATTGCATTGAGTCCCATCTAAACACAACACGCACAGATATCTTCGTCGTCATCAACATTCTCTGTTTAATGACCTATGTCGCGCCGAGGATCGTAATCAGGACGACGAGAAAGCGCGTCAGCGAGATTTTTATTTTTGAGGACTTGTAATGCACCACAAAACTATACTCGGCGAAGAATGACAACCGACGTGCCATACGCTGGGGAAAGTTAGCGCTCTTGACGGCGGTACGCAATGATTCGTGATTTGTGTAGATAGAAAACATCTATTCGCCGAGCAAATATATTTCAAACTTGATTAGCGCGTAACGCATAGCCAAAAGTTCCTTTTCGTGTACCGGATAATTTCTCTTTGTAGGTTTCATCTGTCGTGATTCAAAACTCACGACGCGCTCTCGACCCTAGTCATCAAATTGCATGAGGGCACATTCTATAGCGAAATTGCTCGCGTCACATACGACGTGGAATGGCTTGGAGTCATCAGGTAGCATCAGCACCGGTGCCTCGGACAAGCTCTTCTTCACGTAGTCGAAGGCAGATTGATGTTCTGCCTTCCATAACCATACTGCGCCTTTCTTGAGCAATGTCGATAATGGCTGAATTAGCTCAGCATAATTCTTCGTATACTAATGCAAGTAATTCGCCATACCGAGACATTGACGTAATTCAGTTTGGGTCCTGGGCGTTGGCCAGGTGCAGATCGATGATGATCTTCTCAATATCAGCGCGGACAGCTTTCTTGTTGACGTAGCAACCGAGTACTGGGATCTTGGGGGCGCATAAGACACATTTCTTCAAATTCGCATACAATTTATTCGCGCGCATAACTTGAAACACTTGCTTCAAGTGTCGTAGGTGTACCTCCGTAGCGCTGAGCTTTTGTTCAGCGCGGCTGTGAACAAAAATGTCGTCAAAGTAGCTCGGTGCAAAGTCGCGAAGAGGACGAAGTACTTGTGTCACCATCCGATTAGACGTAGCTGGAGCGTTCTTAAGACATTGTGGCATGACTATCCACTCCCAAAGCATCCCGCTCAAGGTGCTGACCACAGTGAGCGTAAACTGAGTCAGTTAGTGTGCTGGACATTGGAGTGTATGAGTTGATAAACTCCAACGTCAACAACAATAGTGTCGAGCATAGCTCAGTGACACCTAGTGAAATGCACGTACTCCGTTGATTGATACTGAGTCACTAGATGTCGGTAATTACATCGGTGTAAAGCTCAAGTTAAGGACGAAGACCTTGTTAGTGATATTGTCTGTAATAGCTATTCACTTGATGTCGGTAATGACATAGACTTTCGTATAGAGCAAGTTAAGATCGATGACCTTGTTGGTGAATATTGGCTGTAATAGCGATTCACTGGATGTCGTTAAAAAAATGACATCGACTCTCGTATAGAGAAAATGAAGGTCTAATACCTTGTTAGTGATGTCACCTGCGTTCGTGACTCACTGAATACCGGTAATGACATCGGCTATCGTATAGAGCAAGTTAAGATCGAGGATCTATCTGCCTTGGGAATTATGATTTCCGAGTACTTCAAAAAAAACGGTCTCGTTAATGAGTCGGCAGCGTTGACAGATGGCGGCTGCGAGATGCAAAGCGTCTTTTTTATTACGTGGTGATGTCTGTGAACAGCTGTACACCTGGCCAACGGAGTGACAGGTGATGTAGATGGTGAGGTCGACCTTGAAGTCCTCTCATCATTAAATAGCTACACGAAATGTCTGTGGATCATTTTCATTAAGTCTTGAAGGCTGGTGATCTATTTGATATGGTGGCAATTCGACCTAACCTCGAGCTAAAGTCATCCTCAATTGTCGATGAGGCAGTCGTTGAAGATACAAAGGCGGCACTTAGTGCACGTAGTGGATCATCTATCTTGATGAGCCCTTCGGATTCTACTATTCTTTAGTTAAGGAATATCAGGAAGTGGTGTGCCATGATCCACCGTCTGGATATCTCCTGATAGAGGTGTACTTTATGAGATTTACTTGGTTACTGGAACCTAATATTGCGTCACACGGCAGTAACATCTTCCAAGAGAACGTTATGACGTCATTGACGAGTTCTTTCGTTCAGAGCACGCGGCGGCAGTGGCGCTTGAGAGTAAATATCCGCACTCGACACCCACTTTCTGTGTCAAGAAACCCAATGGTAAGTAGCGTATTGTTCATGATATTAATAAGTTTAGTGTAGCCACTATACCTGCGCAGACGCCAATTCCTAGATGTTCTTCGGAACAATATGGTCGGCTGTACCATGAACAGTGCGCTCGACTTAATCGATAGTACTAAGAATTGCTCATGCGATCTAGCAATATTCCGCTCATCGCGGTTAGTACTCCAAGCATCATGCTCTGGGGGTGGTGGGTGATGCCCCAGGGGCTGTCGAATGCGTCGGATACGTTTAACCGCTTGGTGACGCAATTGTTTCGACCCCATCGAAATTATGCACAGACGTGATTTAATGGCTTCTGTGTCCATAGTAAAAAAACTGCTAAACATGCGCGGTCGGATATCGAGAACCATATTATTCATTTACGAGCTGTGCTTGAGCGCATGCGCACTCAAAACCTTTATGCTAATGCATCTAAGTGCATCTTCGGTGCCAAAGAGGTTCTCTTTTTAGGGTGTTTCATTGAAGAGCGAGGCCTTAGAGCGGATCCGGCTAAGGTCAAAGCCATAGTTAGATGGCCCGTTCCACATTCCCAGAAGAACTTGTGAAAGTGGCTTGGCCTCGCCAATTACTTGCATAAGTACAGCAAAAATTTACGCTGATATGGCTTGGCCATTATCTAATCTCCTAAAAAAGATGTGGAATGGTGTTGGCATGCCAAACACGAGGACGCTTTTTAAGCGGTGAAAGCAAGACTTCTATATTCTTCTATTTTGCCATTGAAAGACCCTGATCGACCGTTTATCGTCGTGTGTACGCTTCGGATTTTTCCATTGGCAGTGCTCTGTTACAAGCAGATGATGAAGGTCGTGAGCGCGTGATCGCTTTGAATAGAACCAGCTGAAATCTGCAGAAAAGAATTATCCAGTTCATGAAAAGGAGCTACTTGAAATGAAGTATGCATGTGCTAGATTCGAAACCTTTTGTGATCTATACCGATCATGAGTCTTTACGCACTGCAACTCATAAGCCTCATCTCTCGCGCGGAAAGGCCCGTTGGCTTTCATTCTTTGCTAAATATAACTTCGAGGTGAAGTAAAAGCCTGGAAAACAAAACGCTTTGGCTGATGCGTTGTCACGCAGACCTGACTATAAGCTTGCTCATGTTACCACGTTGTCGTCTTTGATCACCGATCTCATTCGTCCAGCGTACACTCAAGACTATCATTGTGTTGCTTTGCTACATGCTCTTGGCAGTGATGAGGTTTAAAGACTTGGACATTAAAATGTCGGCAAGATTACGTGCGATCCTTCATCGATATTCCATCGAACAGGGGCTGTTGTACTATTGTACTGATGCGTCGGATGCACTATGCATTGTGGTTCCTCATGATGAGGACCTAAGTATCGAATTTTTTATGAGGAACATGACACCGCCATCGGTGGACTTTTGGGTTGTGACAAGACCTATGGTTCACTATGCAAACGTTATTGCTGGCCCAAACTGCATAAATGGGTAAGCACATATATGCGTACGTGTGAAACGTGTTAACGGGTGAAACCCTCTCCCCATTCGGCGGTGCCTCAGGCTAGTTTGCCAATAAGGATGATGGACACTCCGACGGCCAAAGTAAATTTTCTGCTGTCTCAGCCTTGTTGGCAAAGCCAAGAATGGGCTCTCGAAAAGCTCGTCGTAGATGAGTCGGCGTTCCCTACGCTGGACGATATCCAGCGTGACTTACGACTGGCTTTCGATCTTCCTTAAGATGTATGTCGCTTGCGTGCAGACTTCCTTATCACTCAGTAAGGCAAGCTGTCGATGCGTAACTACGTGCAGAAGACACGTCATCTTTCATCTTGCATTACCACGCAGTCAATTTACATGGCTTCACAAGTCCATGTCTTTATTTTTGGTATGCAAGAGGGCATGACGCGTTGCTGCCTCACACGTGCTGAACCAAAGTCCCTCGAGGAGGCATTTGCCCTCGCGCTTCGTGAAGATTTCACTGTCGCGTCGTCATACTTGCACAACGTCACAACTTTTGCGGACTTCTGGACCAGAGCCAATGGAACTCGACGCAATCGAGTTCTCTCGTGGTCGCGGCAAATCAATAGGCCGCGACATTCGCAATCCTAACGAAGTGTTTTCGCTGTGGTAAAACAGACCATCGTGCGGATGTCTGTCGAGCACCTGCGCCGGTGACTAGAACACAGCTGTTTCACGAGAGCTTGCTGTGTAGTCCGTGGTACCGACAAAAACGATCGGTTCCAGTAGGCGCGGGGCGCCCTACTGGCAGAAATGGAGCCCCGAGTACTCAGGTGGCAGCTCGGGCTCCTATCCCCAAAGTGATCACACTAACTTCAATGCCACCACCAAGCGCGATGATTCGAGACTAATTATTATCGGTCTCATCGTTGCTGGAGTGAAGCGACCACTCCGATCGTTGTTGGATTCTGGCGCTTCCAACAACTTCTTTTGTGCATCGTGTTTATCCCTTCTCCTGTACACTGTCACAATTCAAGAAGGCAGTCTCCGCATCTTGGTTGATACATTGAAGAAGCAAGCCCACCGTGCACATCTGCAGAGATCACATCTCTGTCAGACCTTTCATGGAAAGACTTCCTTCATGACCTCAAGGCCGGCGACATCGAGTAAGTGTGCATCATTTCAGCCACCGAAGCAGCCAGTGAAAGAAGTTCTGGAGGCTCGCCCGAAGAGCGCCGATCTAAATCAGCGAGCGAAGAACGCTTCGTGGCACAGTGTTGGGATGCTCTTCGTGCTCCGGGCAACCCTGTCTACGATATCGCCTATGAGTACGCCAAATTTCATCGGAGAAAATTCCTGCTAAGCTTCCAGCGGATCGTGGAGTGCGGCACGATATAGATCTTGTGTCAGGATCGAAGTATTGCATAATGCGGCAGTGGCCGTTACCGCGTGATCATGTCATCGCTATTGATGATTTTTTTGAGGGTCGCCGCAAGGCTGGCCATGTCCGCGAGAGTATCTCGCCACATTCGAGCACGACTTTATGTGTGAAGAAAGCCACCGGTGGTTGGCGCATTGTGCACGCCTTCAACAAGCTGAATGACGCCACGATCCCGGCTCAAACGCCTATCCCTCGAAAAGACATGGTATTGAATACCATGTCCGGGAGCAAGATTTACAGCGCCATAGATATGACAGACGGTTTCTATCAGATCCTCATGAGAGACAGTGACATAATGGCTCGCACCAATAGCGCTTCTGGTTCTAGTGATAATGGGTTCATGACTCTCCAAAATTTTGCTAGGGACTTTGCGCGTGAAGCCTAAGGTTTAGATGTGCAATATATCCATGGGCTCATGCCATTCCAGCCATGCCAAGATAAGTTCATATCTCGAGTCCAAATCTAGCAAAATACAGCGTTCAATTCTATTTAAGTCTAAGAACTTTACACCTAAGTTTAACGGACAGCGGTGACACGTACACCTGTCGCGAGACGATGTCACCCTTTTGCGCTGCATACAGCTGACTCCCTTTAAGGTAATGACGCCGGACATAATTACCCGACGCTTCTGAGTCAATTAAAATTGGCCATGGCTTCTCAAAGCCCTTAACGCTTGCCGATACAGCCACAAGCCTGACTTGTATTCATGCTCCATGGAAGCTTCCACAGAACCACCTGGGTCTAAGCCCTGTTTACTTCTACCTCCTAGAGACTCCACCGAACTTAGTTCTTTCCCAGTAGGGCGCCCTGCACCTACTGGGAGCTGACGTTTTACCTGCCGTGCTCGCCTTTTGGCTAGGAGCAGGGTTACGGCTATGCCGATTCTGATGTTGCTTTCGCAACGGACAGCTAGGGAGGGTGTACCTAGTGCTTCCGCACATGTAACATCTACGAATGTTACTTTGCTGCTCTGCAGCTTGAAGCTCAGCTTCTTCCCTTTCAGCATAACTGAGATCCATAGGTTCCGCCCTATCAAAGGCAATTAAATTTTACCATGATAGTCCATAGAGAGCAAATTTACATCAGTTCTCATTTTGAGGTAAAGATCTCAAGTCTTGATAAGACTTATTCTCTTGTGCACTTCGTGCGTTGGTTTCCTAAACCTTTAAGCTTCTAGCTTGCTCTTGCACTCTGTGCGATGGTTCTCTGAACCGTAAGCTATTGCTTGTAGACTAGAAGTTCCTCCTGGTTCCGTAGAACGGGTAGACTTCGTAGTCGTTTGGTTAACTAAACTACTACAAAGTTGACGGCTTTAAGCCGTCAGCTTCTAAACAGTTCTTTAGAACTTAACAGGCTTTTAGCCTTTTCAAGTCTTGCTCTGACTAAAGGAGCTGTGTAGCTCCGCTTTAACATATCCATCTTCAACATATACACACACATGAAACTACCCTTTGAGCGCACGTTAGATTTTGTTTGACGATAATTGTTAGTCTTTTATTCGGGCAGGATCTTTAGGCCTCCGTCAACAAAACGTCGATCGCGTTTCTTCGCAAAGAAGCCAGAGAATGGATACATCGTTTGTCGTGTGTGCGTCAGCCGACATCCATGTACAAAGAACCACACTTAATGGACTTGCCGCTTGAAATATCTGCACTGGTAATGCTGGCCAGTAAAAGAAGCTACAGTATTAAATTCACTTGTCTCTTGATGCGCGACCCTCTTAACTGCATGGACGCACATTGGCTGTATTTGTCTTGGTCATGCGCTGCGAAGCAGCGCTGATGCTTATGCCCTCAACGTCGCCTGCATATTCACGTCGATAAACGACAGCTCTATTCGGTATCGAAAAGGTATGCCGCCTTATGTTTATGCAGGTAGTATTCGTATAGCAAACGTGTCAACGGGCACGGCATATTACCTTAGCGCAACTTGCGCTTACGTACATACGCCAGAGTTCGACGATCTAATCTCTTGTTTTTCTGGATCGACACGGCGCTTGACGGAGTGGGGTGATGGTTGTAGTCTACAGTTGGTGGGTGGAAAGAAAGATCGTCCTCTTCTTCGTCAATGCCGATCTGAATACAAAAGATACACAGCAAGGTCAGCAGAACAAGAACAAGTCGATAACCTAACATAAGCACTCGCACCCATTCGTCGTCGGTCGCTGCCATGACATGCAATGAGTAGAGTGCTAGTGTCAATTGCAGCCACTGCACGATAAGGTTCGAACCTAGAAAAACAGCAAGCAAGCACTCCACAGCCAATAATGTTAAACACAATGTAGAATCGTAGCATCAAATTGCACCCTAATTCATCGTACCTGTGTCGCCAACGATAGAAAAAATAGTGGGGAGCACAAGTCGCTCGTCTTCAGTGCGGAGATGATAAACGAAGTAAGCAAAAGTTCTGCACCTAAAACTCAGAGCAAATCGTTATTTCAAGCAGTTGTTGTAAACGTAATACGTGCAAAACTTACCGTTCAAGTCCAATAGGAAACTGTGGTGAGAAATTCCCTCGACCAAGAAGACCAGCGGCAAAATAATTCGGAAGGTTGTCACCATAGCTGTGGATCCGTTCGTGCAAAATAGTTGGACAAGAAATGCATACCAGAGGCATACCGGCGCCCAAGGAGGCGCCCATGGGAAAACATACTGGACAAGGAACGGGAAGCCATAGAGAAACGTGAAACAGAATCCGATGTGCCGATGAGTCAATATCGCGCGAAACGCAACCCGATGAATACGAATGAGCCAAGAAGCGATGTGCAACGAGACTAGCAGTACCACACTAAACACCATCGCCAACACTGACTCCGCATATGAAAAAGCAGTTGCAAGCAGGCCCTTAATGTTCAACCGCCAAGCAATCCAGACACAGCCATGTCGTGTTCCAGAATAAGCTAGCAGCACAGCTGTAGTGGCTATTGAAGCTCCATTACGTAGTCCCTGGACAAATCGTGCGGAAAGTGGGGTACTTTTGATGGCCAAGGTCTTCAGTTGCTTGTCTTGTGCCTCTGCCGCAGAATTATTGACTGTGTCTGCTGCCTTTGAAATCACAGACGCCCCTCGCTTGTCTTTCCTTCCTCGAGAAGCTATTTTCTTGTCTATCTTTTCCTTTTTGGTCTTTTCCTTGCGATGTTCTTTCGTCAAATGTGATTTCTTATCATCTGCACACGGCGCGAAACCAGCACCTTTTTTCGCGGATAAGATGCTTTCGCTTGGAGGCTCGACGGAGACAACAGCTTTCTTCTTCAACTTCTTTGACTCCAAAAGCTGTTGATCAAGTGACACTTGCGCTTGCTCAGCGAGCTCTTTTCTCGTTGTCGGTTCATATTCCGGTACAGTACTTGACAAAGATGGCTCACGTTTTGTGCTACATGTATATGTAGTTGATAGACCCTCGGGTGGTGCAGTGTATATGCTTCTGGCATCGTGAGTACGTTTTGCTGCGACTTCATCATGACAACTTGCTAATATCTCACGCTGTCCTCTAGATTTGTCCATGGACTTATCGGCCGTTTCGTCAACATCATCGATTCTCGCGCTAATGGAGCTTGGCACCACAAGGATAGATTCAGATGTTCTTGAGAAGGCACTGGTTTCGGCATCTTGCCTTGTATCTTCTTCTAGTTCCTGAAAATTTGTTTTAGGCGATATCGGGCCATCATTGCTTCTTTGACTGTTTTGCCTGCTTAAAGAAGCAGGAATAGGGGCAGCCTCCTCCGACAAAAACTGACCTAATACGCTCTCCTTATCGTGCTTTTCGCGATACACTTGACGACGAGTGGTTCCTGTCCCTTTACCATTTCCTCTCATGGGATTCCTCTTCGAGGCGGTTCGACTGGAAGATTTGGTATCCTCTCGTCGCGCTTTTCCAGAATCTCTTGAAGTCAAAATCACAGAACCGTCCCTTCCTTTCAAACCAGGCGGAGGGCTAACCATAGAGCCAGGTTCATCACTCTGGTTATCCAGTTTTCTCCAACGGCCGTCGTTACCACCAGTACCATATGACGACAAAACTGCACCTTTATCGCCTACCTGATTCCGGCGCTTACCTCTTGCTACTGATGGATCATCGCAATTACGGCTGCTTTCATTCACATAAATCGAGCTTCCGCGCGCGGTTACTGAGGAAGCCAATTTACAACCACGATCGGAGCGTTTCGGTATAATAGGTGATCCCGGCGCAGAAACATTGGTCGCGTCTATGCTTAACTCCAAAGCTTTTGTTCTAATATTTGAGCGGCCTTCAGCCCTTTTCCTTCCGCCTCGAGCCTCCTTTGGGCTCCGTAGCGTCTTTGAACTCGCTTTTACATCAATTCGTCTCGAGGTGGTTGGTTCCCGATTGTACGACGCATTAACTGCTTTTCGAGTACGCATGCTCTCCATCTCATCAACTTTTGTCGAGTGCGTGTTTAGCTCGGTTAGACCCGAAGCCGACGCAAAGCGACTATATGTCTGGTCACGCAATGAGCTATCTCCAACCATACCTGTCGAGGAATTCAAGCTGGACAGTGAACTCGGTTTATACTGGTTCTTACCGCTCGAAAAAGCTTCGTTTGGAGCTCCTTTACTTGCCCCCAAAGGCGATAAAGTTGAACGACTAAAAGGTCGAAACTGAGTGTTGGACGCTTGCTGCTGCATTATGTCTCTACCTCCACTTCCAAAACCCGTAAGAGACTGCATTCCAATAGGTTCACTTAGCCCAGGAGGATCAGGCAATCCAGGTGGACGTTGTAAGATACGACGAGGCTGCGACACTTCCGTCGCCAAAGAAGGCCACGTCCTCTTTGAACTTAATCTGAAGGGACTGTCACGTTCTTCAGCCCGCAAGTACGACGACATTTCTTCTCCATGATATAATTGCTGAGTCTTCTTGCCAAAAGACTCCGTAGCTAATATACTCCTCCTGCTTTCTCCCTCTTTATAAAAGTCCTTTGCAGCCTCTTGTCCTCCACCAAACATTGAATCCGAAGATCTGATACCTCCAGTGCCTCCAAGAACTTCTCCATCTCTTAATCCAGAGGTAAAAAGTCTCGCAGGCTTAACAAATGGGCTAAAGCTCGAAATGGTTCCCCCAGAGTCGCCAAAGTCTCGGGAAGCTCGGAGCGAGTGCATATCTCCTCTCAAATCTGATTGCAACAAGTTGGTGGGTCTAGAAGACGACTTGGAGCTTTCACTTGAGCTGAAAGGTGACGTTTCCAATGTAACACATGGTCGAGTATAAAGTCCACTAAAATCTACGTCACTCATCAAATTCGAGGCTGCTGGAGCTGCGATGATCACTGCTGTATTCCCAGTAGACGTGGCTATTGATTGGTTAATAGTTTCGGCACTGTTACGTCCGCCAATGGGGCCAAAACTTGCTTTAGTGCGGCTACATTTAATTGAAAAGATATCACGTCAGTAAAAATTGAATATTACACGTATTACGAGGAGATAGAAGATGAATAATATATGGATGGATAGAGGAGACGCACCTTTTCTTAGGAGGTGAGTCGTTTGCGATACCATCAGGTAGGAAATACGTCATAGACGCTTCGTCGTCAGCATCCATGGCCTTCAATCGTATCGTTAATTGAATCTTGTGACTCAAACAGTGACACACGAATAAGGTTGTACGAAGGTATTGATAGTATTTTATACACACGGACGTCATGTTTATTGCAGTTTTATTGGTATTTAATGCGTTAATCTCGTTTTCAGCATTTTGGCTACGTCCAGAGCCACAACACCATACAAAAGAACAAAAGACTGGAAGTCGAATACTTTTTCGCTGCTCTTGTTTCCTGATGAATGGTCGTTCATTGAGTGTGTAGATCACGAGCGAGTCGTTGTTTTTTTGCAGAGCTGATGCCTTTTAGCAACAAGAGACCGTTCAGGCAATGCTAATGGGCTCTTCAGTTGTCCGTGCAATTAATTGTCTTGAGCGCTCGTGGCAAAATGAGGAATTGGGCTGTACAAGAAAAAGTGACAAGCAAAAGATAAGATGATATGCATCAATGGCATATTATCACTTGTACAAACGTACCAAACCATATAGCTAGGTTCGTCTTCAGCTTCCGAGTCCTCGTCGATTGCCATGCGTGACACTTCCAGCTCGAGTTGGTCACTTTCCACTATACAAAAATGGTCAGCACTTTACGTAAGGTAGCACATTGAAGCACGTGCTTGTTCCGTACCTGGCACGACTGGACGAAAGCCTGCGTGCTGCGAGGAAGAGCGCATCTGGCGACGAATTCGCTCCCGATCCATAGGTGAACACTCGGTAAAATTGTGTTTCGTGTTGCATAATTCCGCTTCCTGGTCTACAGTGACTTCCGTTCGGCAAAGCGGGCACGATGTGTGATTCCATAGCCATTTGTCTACACAACACGCACTACAAAGATGAAAGCGTGAGTTCGGCTTGGTTTTTGTACATCACTTTACTCAATAGTGTGGAATACGTACTGGAAAAAGTGCTGGCATGGAAGCGTTACAATGTGATCACCAATACCGTAGCGAAGCTGGCAAATCGTGCATTCCTTGCTGGTTTCGTTTGCTGTACCCATTGCCAAGGGAAGCTGGTATCGAACCTCGATGGGTATCCCCCTGAAAAATCAAACACCAAAGATACATCAGGTACTCTTGCACAATCAGTCCACCACACCATCCACCAATGTCTACGCACTTTTCTTCGATCAAAGGGCTGTAGCACTGAAATTCAGGGCTGCTGCTGAAGTCGTTGTCTCCAACTAGAATCTGACGGTATATTTCTTCTTTTGCCAGCTTGCTATTGCAACCCCGCTCGAACTTGTCAGTGCTGTAGACAAGGACATGACACTACCGTTAGAAGCAGTGTCCGTGATATCGGCATGATAAGTTAAAAACGCACTAGAATGACGGGTTCATTGACGACAATTGACTGAGCTCATCATCACTGCTGCTGCTGCACAAAACAATTACACAAAAGGCATTAGATGACAAAATATAAATGTGTTTTCCCAGCCACTAGGTTCGCAGACTCACCATGAACCAGGGCTCATAACTCCGTACTCCCAGGGCTTAGAGATAGTTTCGTACTGCCATCCAAAACCATTGTTTTCCCGCAGGTCTCCATCAAAGCATCCTTCGATAGAGCGCTTTCGAGCAGTTCTCTGTTCTATTTTGCGAGTTCTAATACAGTCTTGAAGAACAGCGCGAGCGCAGCTTACAACCGGGTCTACTGTCGAAAACGACTGCGCTGAGGTCGTCGTCGCTACCGAGGATGACGATACTGGGAATGTAGGCGGGTTGAATCTCGAGAAATTTCCATCAAAAGCGAACATGGTTGTTTCTGCCGCAGGAACTTTGTCCGCCTTCTTAGTCCTGGAAGAGATAAAACGTGAGTTTCCACGTGCTGAACTATGACTTGGCTTGGTCTCCTGCGTCGAGAAAGCAAACAAGTTAACACTCGACTCTGGAACTCTCATCTCCGAGTCTTCATTGACATTCGACAAGAAGTTCGTGTTCCGTGCCGCAACTACACGTATCCCTGCTCGACTGCTCGACGACATGGACAACGAGTTCTTGCTGTTCTTCCTATCTTTCCTGATGGTTGATCGCTTGCTCTTAGACCATGTTATCTCGGACGAAGCTGCGCCTTTGTCCTCACGTGTCGAGAACATAAACACCGAAGACGACGACGACGTTTCCACTAAACTTTTTGTACTAAGACCGTCTCGATGTCCACGACTTGATTGTGACGATATCGACGCCTTCTTCTTAGAAAACCCATCTACAGCTCTCGAATTGCAAGATAATAAAGAAGCTGTACCTGAGAAGAACTTTGGAGAAGAAGATGAACTACTACTCGCATTTGGAGACGTAGACCAGGTCGGTGCGGACGAGGAGGTGACCGAGTTGTTCTCCTCTTTGGGTGTCCTAGTGGTGCGTTTTTGCCAATAGGAGGGGAAAGTTGCTGCTTCTGCTGCTGCTGAAGTCTGGTTTTTACTGCTGCTTTTCGTGTGATGATTCGAGTTGTAAAGCGAGCCAACAAGGCTGCTAGAAGCCGTTGTACCGCTTTTGCCGTGGGTCCAACGCCACCAATGACCTTCATTTGTCTTGGATATAGCTGGCGTTATATCGGATGCCATGGAATGCTCCATATGTGCTTGAAATTGCTTCACTTTCTGCTCAGAAGGACAAATATATAATGTCAATGTCATATTGTAGTATAATATTAAATACAAACAAGGTAGTTCAGTACTACTTTGGTCATACCGGTTTCTTGTCGAGCTTGACTTTTACAATACACAAGTTTCAATACAATTTGTAAGCAAAATATCGCATTAATATTTCAACAATTACGCTAAGAGTATATTACAACTAAGACGCGTATAAAACGTCTCAAGAGTTAGGCACTTACACTGTAGCTCACGCTTGAGCGCTAGGTTGCATCAAAAGGTGCGTCACAGTGACGAAAAGGGAACGAACGGGTGGAACGATAGATGGCCGCGTTGGAATGTTCAAGAATATTTATACGCTTCTTAGGAGCCGGGGGTTGTTTTTGGTCCAGTTTGGTTGAAAAACGGTGCTACGATACAAATCACAAAAATAAAATGACAAACGTTGGTGCTTTTCTTACAATTTATTCAGTACTTCTTCTATTATACTAAGGTGGTGGTATCTTTACAGTCGAGACTCTCTGTATTTTTTTGCTTCTTCTGACGTATCACTTTCATATTCTAATGAGACCTCCATGCCACATTTGACCTGCCGTGAAAAAGGAAAGACATATATACGACACATTAAATCGGTGACCCATGCTGTGTACAAAAGGTTCGTACTTGACGATATTGTGCCAGCAATTTCGTCACGGCAAAAAAAAGTGATAGTCCATCCTAATCTAATCCAATATGCATAGCCTCACGTTCGGGCTTTTATTTTACTTGCATTACTTATCAGAAATCAACTTATACTCTCCAAAAAAGGGTTGTCTATCTTTACGCAATTGGAACCTATGCAACTATCGCAGCATTACATTTTCATCATCTTTTGGGATTCAGATGTTAACCACTGGTCTTCTTTATGAAACCCTTTTTCACAAAAATCGGTCATATAAGCTGTTCGCGCAGACGCCGCCGCTACATTACTAAACGTCTCCCATATACTTACTGGCCATCCATAAGAAAGCCTCCAACTTTGTTAAGCCACTCGAGCTAGCTCCCATGGCTGCCACAAATTGTCGACGCTGCTCTTGATGCGTTCATGTGGAGGCGACACCATAGTCACACCCGTCAGCTCGAGCTCATCGTCGCCCGAATACACACTACTGATGGATCTCCTGTCCTCTCTCTTGTCGTCTGAAAGTCCGTCGCGCTGGAGCTCATCACCACGAACAAAGATGGGCTCGGTCTCCGAGATCAAGCTCTCAGCACTGAAGCTGTTCTGGCTTGCCACTCTCTCGCTAGAGTGTGGACTCTCAAAGACTCTGCTGCCCACAGATAGCTCGTTCTCTGCCAGTGAACGACGTGCTATCAAATTGCACGGCTCACTTCGGTGCTTTTGCTGGTACGCACTAGCCTTTTCCTCTTCTTGCTGATACCGCTGTCGTCTCTCATCAATGGATTCATGCAACGGTCTCGACGTGAACTTGCCTTTCTGAATCTTCTGTTCCATGCTCGACTGAGTTGCTTTCTTGACCTTTGACTGCCTCTCGGGCAAGTAATCATTGAAGGCGTCGTATGGGTCGATGTCTTGGTGGCGTCTCCGCTGTTGCTGCTCAGCCGACGGCTGCTTATGAGACATTTCTCTCGTTGCTTTCTCTTGCACCATCGCTGGCTGTTTCTCGCGCAGTATCTCACGTTGACTTGATCGTGAGACTGGGGCCTCTCTCAGCTTCGGTCCATCCAACAGTTTCGATAGCGCTCTTTCGTTTGGCACATCCATGCTCTGTGTCATGTCCAGGTTTTCAAATGAACTTGTCATCCACGTAGGAGTCTTCGATCCTCTTGAACTGCTCAAATTGGGCTTGGCGAAAGCTTGAATAGTCACCGATTCCCTGATCGAGTTCATGTCTGCATCGGCCGATAAGGCGCAGCCATCTAGCACGAAATCACGTACGACATCGAAAGCATAACCTCCACATGTTGGGCACTTGGGCGTCTTGGAAAAGGCCCATGAAGCCAACAAGTTGATAAACGAGCGCAGAGCTTTTACACGGTAATTAACAACCGGTGGGGCTCTGGATGCAAAGAGATGCTTTTTTGGAAATTCAAACCGTTGAATTGAATGCAGATAGTTGCGACAGCCTGGACACTTGTCTGTGGACGCTGAAAGGAATTTAACCAGTTGGTCACGCAGTTTCAGGAACTCCGAGTACCGATGACTCACTTCCCATGACTGACCACTAGAGGTGAATCGTCCCGCAATGCGATAGTAGGTGACACCGCGTTGGGTATTGGCTGAAAGCAACCATAGACGTAATTCACGTTCGTTTGGATCCGATTGATTCATAAGCGACAAAGTCATACGTGATGCTGCTAGATTTTCCCTCATTATTATTATTTGTGGCTCAAGACAACCAGATGATTAGAATACAGACGCCACTTGTGATTGTGCAGCTGTTTTGTCGAATGAGCTCGTAGACTATCGTACCGCAACTTTTTTTTTGATCATGTCCGAATGGAATCTGTGATAATTATTGAAAAAGTAGAACCACTAATTGGTTGAAATGAGAGATTCAAGTGAGGAATTTGCTATGCACACGTAAACTACAATCTCAAGACCGAACCAAAAAATCGACGCTTGCGGATCCACTTCCCCTAATCGCGCCACTCGAGGTTATCTTAATCAAATAATTTCTTCTTGTCGACTGGTTGAACCTCGAAAAACTGTCACTTCTGCACATCAAACAGTCCTACGGTACAATACTAGAATATCTCAAGCAATCGAACCCCCCTCTCCCCGCAATACTACTCATTAATCTACCGACACGACCGCTGCTATGCGTACTTTGACCGATAGACACATGTATATCTGTAGTAAGAACTTTACATGTAATTAGCAGCTATATTTTGGTACGGTTGTCTTCACGTCATTTGCGATAGCACACCAAAATAAATTAAATCCAGTCGTGTCTACGTTGATCTACCGATCTCGTCCCGTCTGCATTTCTTCAGTTTCTGTGGGTCGTGTGTGTATCGCGTGATTGTCTTTTTCATAAAGAAGAAATGCCCATACTGGTTTTTTGTATCGCCAAGGAGCTTGATGGACCGCTTTGAGTGATATCAGTAGGTCTCTCCTATGCTCCTGACGATCAGAACAGGGATCTATGGATGTAAGACGCTCCTCCGAGACATAATGGGTCTAGAATGCCAAGCCTCGGTAGACCAACGTCTTGAAGCCAACCGCTATAATGTTGTTTACGAAAACGGTATGATGTCGCTCGAGGATGCTGGGTAGTCAGTTGCCGATAAAGATGTGAGGAAGCGCGAAGGATAATTGAACGCGATATGTTCTTTATGAGACCAGTTTGCAGCTCGCTTCATGCCAACTATATGTACTGATCACCTTCTTCGGCAAGTCTGTCAAGCTCGTCTCCCGCCATTTGTCTAGACGTATATCGCTTAACGGCGCGTCAGTGCCGCCCATTCGATCTCAGTACAAAGAGTTTTGCTTTTAGCATCTGTAGAAATCTCTATGAGAACGTCGAGCACGGGACCTTACAGCTCTTTCAAGTAAAACCCTTGATCAGCATTAATCGCTCACCATGTGTGCTCCGGAGTACGACTTTGCTGACGGTGAGACGGAGGCTCTCTTAGTGCCCCCCCCCCATCTGGTGGGATTTTGGGCTATTGCAAACGAGCCGTACTGTTCATTGTTGAATCCATGTGGCAAGCAACAATGGCTGCAATCTTCGCTCGTATAGGCAGCGGTCCATGGGTGACATATTTGGCATGCACCACTAGGCGTATTTGACTAATACACAAGTAACGGCAACATCACGTGCGAAACTAACACGGAACAACGCCACACCACTGTAGAGGATCACGAATTACGTCAGTGATGTGTGTGTCGTGAAAAGGACAACTTGCATGGACAGTGTTCTTCGAATGATCTGGATTGTGTGATCAGTTTATGAAGGGTTTATACATTTACTTTAGTAGTCTTAATACTACTTTTCATTTGGCAGCACAGTGAAGTAGTTGAGCTATCGTTACAGGTTATGAGCCCAAATACGTTGGCTCCTAATGACATCCTCACGTATGACAATTACTTCATGTGGGAATTTAATGCACGCATGACACTCGCGCGCAAGGATCTTTTGGATCACGTTTTGATTAAGCAAGAGCCGGCAGTGCTGCGGGAGAATCCCGGATGGAAAGTCGCCGATATGAAGGCTCTGGCTGTACTGGTGAAGCTACTCTCTCCAACCTATCAGTGCATGGCTCGGGAATGTGAGTCTGCGTTTGAAGCTTGGGAGGTTCTAAAGACGTACTTTGCGAAGAAAAATCTTCACAACCGAGTGCAACTTCGGAAAGAATTACATGAATTTGTGATGGAGACTGGTGCGAGTCTTATGGACCATCTACTAAAATTTGATGAGCTGTGTCTCAAGCTCGGAGCTGCCGGTGACAGCATGGATGATGATGAAAAGATAGTTTTGCTTTTGGGAAGTTTATCATCCGAATATGATGATATGGCGCATCATTGAGGCGCACAGCAACGTGACGCTGTTAGACGCAAAAGAGATGCTCCGCCGGGAGTATGACACTTTCAGAAGCGAGACAAGAAGAAACCGCTTTTAAGGCACACGCTCAACGTAATGAACCTCGACGTTTTCAAAGTAACCGAGGACACCGTGGTCAAGAAGAAAATCGAGATCGCTACCAAACTTCGAGGAAAGGAAAAGCTTATGCGAGTTTTCAAGGCAAATGCTTTGCGTGTGGCCGGCATGGACACAAGAGATCGAAGTGTCGTAACGTGAAACCATCGAGACCTGGTGATGAATTCGTTTTTTCGGCATTCAGTGAAGAACCAATTTCGAATTCAACTTGGTTGCTGGATAGTGGGGCAAGTCGTCATATGACTGATGACAAGCGTGAATTTGTGGAATACGAAGATTTAAGTACCCCAATTTACATCACTGTGGCAAATGGACATCAGTTGAAGGCGCAAGGAACAGGCAAAGTTCGATTTATACTCGAAAATGGTCGTACAGTCAAACTTACGGAGGTGTTGTATGTGCCTGGGCTAGACATAAACTTGTGTCTGTAGCAGCGTTGACGGCCCGAGGCGTGCTTGTTCAGTTCAAGCGTAATCAAGCAGTTTTGATAAGTGACGACGTGACTGTAGCAGTAATTAAACGAGTGGGAAAGCTGTTTGCGTGGAATGTAAAACAACATATCACGTTAGAGGCACACAAGGCTGAGAGCAGTGGTGCGATAAATGACACTAGTGAACTGTGGCATGCTCGCCTCGGTCATGTGTCTACGAAAAAGATTATGCAAGCGATGAAGTCTTGCGATGGTATTTCGAGAGTTGTCGCATCTGATGGCGGTGTATGTGATGGATGTGCACGCGGAAAAATGACAAACAGCCCGTTCAGTCATACTTCAGGAAGTGAAGTTAAAACAAGTCGACCACTTGAGGTTGTACACACCGATCTTATGGGACCTATGAATCCGAAGTCGAAAGGTGGGGCTCTATATGTACTCACATTTATCGACGACTACAGTCGATTTGTCTACGTATATTTGCTAGCAGCAAAGTCCCAAGTTTTTGAGCGATTTAAGGCGTTTCGTGCTATGGTGGAGAAGCAAACGGATTGCAAGATTAAATGCATCCGTAGTGACAATGGTGGAGAGTATACGAATCATCGCTTTAACAATTACTGTGCAGATCTAGGGATTATCCACCAGAGGAGCGTGCCGTACAATCCTCAACAAAACGGCTTAGCAGAAAGGATGAATCGAACTCTTGTTGAGATGGCCCGATCAATGATATATCACATGGAAGTTGATCGTTCTTGGTGGGGTGAGGCGATAATGGCGGCTGCTTACACCATCAATCGAATTCCTAATACTGCGCGACCCAACGTTAGTCCATTTGAAACTCTTTATGGGTCGAAGCCAGACTTAAGTCATTTCCGTGTCTTTGGTTCGACTGGTTATCTACGAGTCGCGGATTGCAAGCGCACTAAATGGGACAGCAAGGCAAACAAGTGTATTTTTCTCGGGTATTTGGAAAATTCAAAGGCGTACCGAGTGTGGGATATTGCGAGAGGACAATTGGTTACGACTAGGTCCGTTACGCTAAACGAGAGTCCTCCTTCGCGGTACAAAGATGTTGTTGTTTTAGGTGAACCTTTAGCTCAATGCAATCATTATCATGATGATTTAGACGAAGTAAAGGTGGAAGTACCTGATTTGAACAAGAATAACGAGGATGACGAAATGGACGTTGATGAAACTGCTGACAATGATACTAGTTGGGAAGACATGGTTGTGGATGCGTCTGGAGATCTCAATCAGTCACAAAACTTAGATGTTGTTCCGATTGAGAGGGAGCGCACAGACATACAAGTCATTGACACAAACAATTCGATGATACGTCGTACTTCACACGGATCGGTCGCTGGAAGTAGCAATAATGGTACACACATGCTCTCAGGAATACCTGATCAGTCGCGAGCTATTATAGTTTGTGAGAATTCCCGTGCCCCAGATGATCGAATGGAGATATACTCAGGGTCGGACAAAAGACCTTATAGTACATTCACGTCATCTCGTCTACTCACGAATGATGATTTTGACGATGAGAGGATTGATCTACCGCTTTTAACTGATGGATCACCTGTCGAAGGCGAAAATGATGAGCCGGACCCTAAACGTCAATGTGTTGACGATTACGAAATATCGCTTTCTGCTACTGATGTACCAATGAATTTACGAGAGGCGTTACAGTAGATGGACGCAGAAAAATGGAAGGCAGCAATTCAAGCAGAAATTGATGCTCATCTTAAGAACCACACATGGGATGCTGTCAATCGTCCTCCAGGTGTCAAGGTCATTGGTCACAAGTGGGTATTTGGTTACAAGTACGAGGAAAACGGTCAAATTGTTCGTTACAAAGCACGCTTGGTTGCCCTCGGATATCTGCAAACGCATGGTTTTGATTACTTCGACACATATTCACCTGTAGCATGCTCAAACACGATTCGTGTATTTTTGTCTGTTTGTTGCAGTATGCAATATGTAATTCGACAATTTGACGTGGAAACGGCGTTTTTGAATGGTGACTTGGAAGAAGACGTTTACATGGAGGCACCATATGGAATTGAAATTGCACCTGGAATGGTGCGCAAATTACGACGCAGCTTATATGGATTAAAACAAGCGGCTGCGGTTTGGCACAAGAAAATATGCTCTGTGTTTTCGGCCATGGGCTTCGAACAATGTCGAGCGGACACATGTCTTTTTGTTCGACGCAATAATGCAAAAAATAAGTCACCCACATACATAGTCTTGTATGTGGACGACCTCCTTATTGGATGCAAGTCAGATGCAGAGGCGGACACGATTTATAAGGAATTGTCAGAACATTTTACTGTCAAGTCACTTGGAGCTGCGCGGTTTATTTTGGGCATGGAAGTTAACTACTCACAAGAAAAGGGGGAGTTGGTGTTGAAACAGTCCCAATTTATTATGAAGGTGGTCTCGAAGTTTAAGCAAAATGAAGCTTATGCAGTTCGCAACCCTATCTGCGCAGGACAGGACCTAACTCCGGATGAATCACACCCAGTGGTTAAAGACATTACTTCGTATCGCAAATTGGTCGGCTCGCTGCTGTATATTACGAATGCAACGCGACCGGACATAAGCTACGCGATGTCAGTATTATCGCAGTACTTGGACCAGCCACGACAGATGCACGGGCGTGCGGCTTTACGTGTTTTACACTATCTCATGGGAACAAAATCGCACGGAATTAAGTATAGCAAATCGGACGACAAAAAGATGATGCTTTGGGCATACTGTGACGCGAATTGGGGAAATGATAAGAAAACTCGTCGATCTACGTCTGGAGTGTTGATTTTACTCGGAGGTGCAGCTGTCGTATACAAAAGCAAACGCCAAAGTTCGGTGGCTTTATCCTCTGCTGAAGCGGAATATATGGCACTGGCACTAGCTACGCAAGAAGTTATGTGGATTCGTTATTTGCTGAAAGAGATGGGTGTCACATGTAAGACTGCGACTACAGTGCACATGGACAACAAGTCAGCTATAAGTATTGCGACGAATCAGGGATATACTCCAAGAGCTAAGCACATTGACCTTAGGATGCATTTTGTTCGAGACCACATTGAGCAAGGTGATATCCAGCTCAAACATGTTCCGTCAGCTATGCAACTTGCTGATTACCTGACAAAGCCGCTTGGTGCTCCACAATTGATGCGACTACGCGATGAAACTGGAATTCGCGAGAGTGCAAGTTGAAGGGGAGTGTAGAGGATCACGAATCACGTCAGTGATGTGTGTGTCGTGAAAAGGATAACTTGCATGGACAGTGTTTTCGAATGATCTGGATTGTGTGATCAGTTTATGAAGGGTTTATACATTTACTTTAGTAGTAGTTTAACTCTTAATACTACTTTTCATTTGGCAGCACAGTGAAGTAGTTGAGCTATCGTTACAACCACTTTGATACGCGACAACTTCAAACAGACGTACGAAATCGTAATGGTACAGCCTCTTAAATTTAGATTCCACCACCTTCAACAACTCAGAAACAGCTATGTCAAGCCGTCTGCAACATCCCTAGCGATGATACCGTGTCTACCATGTTTAAGGAAAAGCGTCTGTACATGGTCTGCCTTGAATCACTGACGCAATGGCCGCACTTCTCGCGGCAGCCGAGCGCCTTCTGCGAGATCCTGTCGCTTGTCCTGATGCTGACGACATATGCGGTGTGTTCCATGAGAAAATCTTGTACCGCCGCAGCATCGTTGAGCCATGCCGCTGATAGTGTAGCGTCACTGAAACATATTGCAATCCTTGATTATCAAAGCTCACTGGCTTCACATTGTGCTTAAGGTCGATGATATCATCTCACTTGTGCAGCAGCATGTCGATCAACGACATGTCTACGCTTCCTCGATGGTCAGGATCGCCATGATCAGACTACCCGCTCTTCAGCTTATAGTTTCGTCAAACATCGTTGTGTATTTAAACAGATACCAGTTAGAAGTGTAGCATCTGGACCGAAGTGCTTCGAGTTCTGACGTGAGTGGGAGTTTACCGTACAGTGCAAGAAGTTACAGGATTAGAAGACTGCGATAAGCAAAAGATGATTGAGTTCATATACCATGAACAGCTTTTCATTAACAAGTAGATGATAGAATGGCTCATTATCATCCAAGTTGAAGCAAAGTACATGTACATGTATAATGAAGCATTTTGACTTCTTTTACGGGGAAATAACCTTGGTCGTCAGAACAAACATGCAATCGTGTCAAGTCATCAATCAAACTACAGCTATTTAGTCGGACCATTCAAGCCACGAGCTTCAATTTTAGAGCTATCATCTGACAGCTCTAATCGCTGACGCAATAAGACACTCGCAACAAGGATGTAATGGAATGACAGTCCTGTTAGCCAAGCTTATCATCTTACAAAAGGTCTCAGTAGCTCTTCAAACATTGATATCCCGACTCCCCCGGTCCACAGCTCGACTTCAAGTTCCGCGCGAGTCTTAAAGCTTCGCATCTGCGTCGATGCCTGCAGCAATCTTGGCCAACCATTCCGACAAGATCGCAGTAAACTCTTCCTTCGCATTAACTATTGCCTTCTCCCAAAGCACCCAGTGGTCAGTATCCAGCATCATCTTTGCTTCCAAATATTCAGCATCACCTTGTCTATGCCTCTCGCCATCACGGGTTTGAGCACCACATCGTTTGCAGCTTCAATACACAGTATTCGATGCTCGATCACTGTTGACAGTGTCCGTTCATTCTTAAAGTCAATCTTTCTCATCACGTAGGTCTTGCACGTACTTGCAAACTTGCTAGCCAAATAAAATTATCGACATAGTAGTCCAGCTCAGCAGTGTCGACCGTTTATTACACACTAAATGATCGACAGTCAAGTCGGCGACCATCAACGTCTCTGTCAAAGATATTCTGGTCGATACAAGATCCACTTTAAATGGTTTGTGATATATCGTAGTCAATGGAGACGCATCCAGCATCTTTCCCGATTCATCTGCTTCCTTGGCCAGAAGAACATCTCTTAATCGACATTTTCACAAATATATCGTCACTTTGTGCAATATTTCCAAAAAACACTTTTTTGTGCTAAATAAAGTGTTTTTTTTTACCTAATATAACGAGTCGATAAGTAATACTGTGGACCACAATAATTAAGTATCTTGTGGTCCACACTTGTTTTCTTTTTATCCATCTATTTTATCCAAGCCATTAACCTCCAGTCATCAATCATGGCCGATAATGAACTCGACCTGTTCGGCGCTTTTGATGACGCGTCTACGACGCTCACGACCGAAGAACTAGCTGTTACCTCATTCAGCTCTACAAAGCGCAACGAATTTGAATTTACTGCATTTTCCCTGGGTGACGATAAACCCGCATCTCCACCAGCCAAGAAACACCAGAATGAAAATCGTTTAGCTTCTACGACACTAAAAGTCATTGAAGGCAAACGCATTGATGCGACGCCAATAGACGGTGACAAACATTCTGTCAGTGGGGTGGTATCTACCGGTACACAGCAAAAAAACCTCATTTCTTTTTCGGTTTATCCACCGGATTTTGAGGCTAAACCCACAATTGGAGCTGCTGAAAAAAACCCCTGCGAAAACGTACCCATTTACTTTGGACCCATTTCAACAACAAGCTGTGGATTATATTGAAGCTGGAGAGTCGGTGTTAGTATCTGCCCATACGTCAGCTGGTAAAACAGCTGTTGCAGAGTATGCTATTGCCAAGTCTTTACGAGACAAACAACGTGTTATTTACACGTCACCTATCAAAGCATTGAGTAATCAGAAATACCGTGATTTGGAAGAAGAATTTGGAGATGTGGGTCTTATGACGGGAGATATTACAATCAATCCGTCGGCTACATGTCTCATTATGACAACGGAGATTCTCCGAAGTATGCTGTACCGAGGTTCTGAGGTGATGCGTGAAGTCGCGTGGGTCATTTACGATGAGATTCATTACATGAGAGATAAGGAACGTGGTGTTGTTTGGGAAGAGAGTATTATCTTGTTGCCACACAAGGTGAGATTTGTGTTTCTGTCGGCGACGATTCCGAACTCCAAGGAATTTGCTGGATGGATCTGCCATATTCATCATCAACCGTGCCACGTTGTGTATACGGACTACCGTCCGACACCTCTTCAGCACTATCTTTTTCCTGCAGGAGGTAATGGTCTGCATTTGGTGGTGGACGAGAAGGGCAAGTTCCGCGAGGATAATTTTCAAAAAGCCATTGCAACATTGTCAGCGTCGGTAGATGATGCGGCATCGGAACTGGCGTCATATGGCAGCAATACGAAGCGACGCAAAGTGCAGAAGACAAATCCAAAGAAAAAAATAGGCACGGATGTGTTTCGTATTGTGAAGCTTATCATGGAGCGCCAGTACGACCCAGTGATCATTTTTTCCTTTAGCAAGCGCGAGTGCGAATCGTACGCACTGCTGATGTCGAAGCTTGACTTTAACACAGAGGAGGAAAAGCAATCGGTGGATCAACTCTTTAAAAACGCAATGGACTCGCTGTCGGACGATGATCGTGCACTACCTCAAGTCGACTCGATATTGCCACTACTTCGGCGCGGTATCGGTATTCACCACGGTGGTCTACTGCCTATTCTAAAAGAAGTGATTGAAATTCTCTTCGGTGAAGGTCTTTTGAAGTGCCTTTTCGCCACAGAGACTTTCTCCATGGGTCTGAACATGCCTGCCAAGACTGTAGTGTTCACCAACTGCCGCAAATTTGATGGCAATGATTTCCGGTGGATCACTGCAGGTGAATACATCCAAATGTCCGGCCGTGCTGGTCGTCGTTCGCTTGATGCACGTGGTATTGTCATTCAGATGCTAAGCGATCAGATGGAGCCGCAGGTTGCTAAGGGCATTTTGTACGGTCAAGCTGATCCCCTTATCAGTACGTTCCATCTTGGTTACAACATGTTGCTAAACTTGATGCGTGTGGAAGATGCCGACCCCGAGTACATGATCAAGCAGTCGTTTCATCAGTTCCAGAACGAGCAGGCTGCTCCAGCGCTGGAGGAAGCACTCGAACGTGCTACGGAAGAGAAAAATCAGATCGTGATCAAGAATGAGGAAGAGGTGGCGCATTACTACTACCTGTCCAGATCTCTTGTGCGTCTTAAAGAGGAATTTCTGGCTATACGCAACAAGCCTGAATACGTCGTTCGCTTCCTCAACGGTGGTCGTTTAGTGAAACTTTATTGTCCGGACAGCGATGATGGCGCGTCAAAACCCAAGTGGGATTGGGGTGTCATTGTGAATTTCACGACCAAGAATGCCAGCAATTCGACTTCGGCGGCGCCTGACACGATTGTGCACGTGCTGTTGAACTGTGTCGCAAGTAATGGTACAACGAAGGCAAATGATGCTACCAACGGCAGCTCTGTCTCGGAGCTGCCAACACCAGCGCCTGATGGTATGATGGGCCTGTCGGTTGGAACGTACGAAATGAAGATCTGCCCCGTGCCATTAGAGATGCTAGACCTAGTTTCTTCTCTGCGTGTGTACATTCCGAAGGACTTGCGTACAGTAGATAGCCGGCAGGCAGTGGGAAAATCGGTGAAGGAGGTGCTGCGGCGATTTCCTCAGGGTGTGCCACTGTTGGACCCGCGCGAAGACATGGATATCCAGGATGAGCACTTCTCTCGTGTGATTGAAAAAACGATCGAGGCCGAGAAGAAGCTTAAGAGTTCGGTATTCCATAGTGCAATCGACAAAGAGGCACGATTCGCGCTGTATAATCTCAAGATGGAGAGCGAAGCAAAGATGCGGGAGCTAGAGCGTAAGATCAAGGAGTCTAAGTCACTTGTGCTGCGCGACGATCTGCGTCGTCGTCGGCGAGTTCTGCGACGACTAGAGTTCGTGGACAAGGAGGGCGTGATACAACGAAAGGGTCGTACGGCATGTGAGGTCTCTACGACGGACGAGCTGCTGGTGACTGAGATGATCTTTAATGGCCAATTTAACGATCTGTCAACGAATGACACAGTGGCGCTATTGAGTTGTTTGATTAATACGGAGAAGAATAAGGAAAGCGACAAGCCGCCGCAAGCCGAAAATTTGGTGATTCCTGTTCGCCAGCTGCGTGAGACGGCCCAGCGCATTGCAAAGGTTATGCAGGACGCCAAGATCACAATTGACGTCGGCGAGTATGCGGGTGCTTTCAACACGAGTCTCGTGGATGTTGTCATCGCTTGGTGCCAGGGTGCCAAATTTTCGCAGATTTGCAAGATGTCTGACGCGTTCGAGGGTACAATCATCCGTTGCTTGCGTCGTTTAGAGGAGTTGCTACGCCAGCTTACGCTGGCTGCACATTCCATTGGCGACGTCGAGCTTGAGAAGAAGTTTGACGAAGGAGGCAAAAAGCTGAAGCGCGACATTGTGTTTGCTGCCTCCCTCTACCTGTAGCTTTTCTGCCAACAAACATACCTGCTAATACAGTAACAACTTTGTCTTGCATCTGTATTCTTTACAGCTATCGTACGTTGCTTCGTGCTGTCCTGTTCTGCTCCAAGCCAAATGTTAGCGTCACGTGGCTTTTCGTCGGTGAGTGATGTCTGCGCAGCAAAGCAAAGCACTGCTCTTCATCTGTCAATTTGTTTGCAACATTCAACTTGCATGGCCGCTCCAATACAGCATTGTTGACTGTGATGCCCGTTGCCATAATTGCTTTTTAGAGTTACCTCTTTACCAAAATGTTTGGGTGCAGCAAACAGTGCATCCACTTGACGCTAGGGTACAAATACTTGGAGTAGACACGACTTCAGGCTCAAAAGGCGTTGTATACGTCAGACCTTTGAGGCAAATCAAAAGTGCATACATGGCCACGCGATTCGGCCAATTTGTCGCGCGTCTACTGTTGAAATAGCGTTTGGTAACAACATAATCTTGACACATCCTCACGACGTCACCAGCCTTTGTATTTACATCACCGACTTGCAGCGTTTGAAAACAGCAGAATCCTTTTATAGCTTCATTTTCATAGCTTCGCACGTTTGATAGTTTGTGCGAGGCCGTCGGCAATTTCCTCCGCGAACTGAAAAAACGCGCCGTGTCCACCCGTTTCAAAAAAGAGCGTCTGCACATGGTCACCTTGTAGACGCTCAATTAGTGCCATCGAGTTCTCGGGCGGGATCAAAATGTCTTGTTTACTCCCAATGATGAAGATCGGGAAACCCGACTTGGCGACAAGTGCCAGTCGCTCGTCCGAGACGTAGTGCGTCAAGCACGCCATACCTTGAGCGATCAGCGCGTACAGCGGAGGAAAGCCGTTGTCAGATTGTGGTGTTGCGTGATATTTTGCGAGCACATCTTTCACCCGAAGACCTTCTCGACCTTCAATGGGATTATTAAGGATTGTACTCGGGTACATCAGCTCCATAACGCACTGCATCGATCCACCAAGAACCGTCCCGAGAAAAGGCTTCCACGCTCTTGGATGGGGCAGATACGCCCCACGCGTTGTGACCAATAGCGTCAATGAAAGCACGCGCTCCGGCATCATTGCTGCCAATTCAAGAGCGATCATGCCACCCATGCTGCAGCAAACAACACCCACACCTCGTCAATCACACAGTCACCGAAATAAACCTCCTAGTTCAATTGCATTCCAGCTCACCTGCCGCCTATAAAATGTGCCGAATCCCATCCAACATGACTCATTAATTCCAACGTATCCTGAGCCATTAGACTTGTTGTATAACGTGCGAATGGGGCATCACTGCCACCTGCACCACGATTATCAAAACTGAGAATCTGAAGCTTCTTGCCCTGTGTCTTGGCATCCCATTGGTTCATTAGGAGGTCAATAATTGGTGCCCAGGCCTCTTTGGTCATTACAAAGCCATTGATTGTCACCAATCGCTCTATTGGCAGCTCTGTCGTCTCTACTTCATCTTTGCTGCTTGTAATTGTATATTCGATTGTGAGCTTTGAGGGCAGCGTAACTTTTTTGATACGATCCTTTGGAAAGTGTTTCGATGCTGAGTTTAGTGCTGCAAGATGACGCTCGGAATGAAGTCCGTGTCCAGTAAATGTAGTAACTTGATTGATCTTCATGGACGATGATGGTGATCGGACTTCTTGTGATACATGTAGCCATGATGGACGTGACGCAATAAACGTATCATTTGATACAGTGTATATTGTTTTAGAGGTGTACGCTGGCAACAATAAAAGATGAGAGGTAGAAAATGATATAACAGTTGTACCGGTATGATACCGTCTCATCGACCATCACTCTTGCCTGCCATCTAAACAGGTTGCCGCACTCATGGAGGAATCTGACTTCGTGGCCGACTCGGATGAAGACGAGCAGGAGATGCTGGAGACGCAGGATCTCACAGAAGATCGACAGACTTGTCAAGGAATTGAAATCGATGCAGCTGTAGAATCAACTCACGCACAAGAGCAAACGATGACTCGTCAGAAGTCACTTACATTTAAAGAGCAAAAGAACGCGGAGGACGAAACAGTTGGAGAGCAGCTTGAAGTTGAAGTTACAGACGAAGAGCACGAATCCGAGACTGATGAAAAAGAGCGTGTATTAGACGTGGGGACACTGGTGGATGTGGACTCTCGTACGTGGCCCGGTATTAATAAACTAGGAGGTGCTGGTCGGATTGTACGAGTTGATGAAAAAGAGCTACAAGATGGTGACCGACATGAGGTTTTTTACGATGTTCGCTATGTACTTGGAGGCTTTGAACGGCACATTGAAAGCAAATGGGTTCACTCGTCCGAGCTTTTAAGCAAACAATCAAACCGTGAAATTGTAGGACGAGATTATTATCATGGTAGGGTGTGCACTGTCCCAGTCTTGTTTTTCTTGTTTTTGTTGTTAATTAGTGAGCTGATTATCAATGTTGTTGTTGTTTTTGTGACTACTTTATAGATGATTTTATTAACAAACCACATCGGGAAGCAGAAAAACGACGTGAGCGTCGGATGACTCGTGTTCAACAGACTGATAGAGGAATGCTGGGTCAAAGAAAACGAAAACGTGTGGAACGAATGGTGGACAAGTCAAAACAAGACCAGAATGAAGTGGAAAAGAATCGACAACAAGTATCTGAGAGTGACGAGGACATGTTTGTGCTGTTAGAGGAGAAAAACGGCTTGCTTGAAAGATCAAGTCGACCATTGACTGACAAATTGAAATTGGTGGGAAGAGTTGATGGGCCTCAGAGCCCCTTATTGAAGCAATTTATACGACGGCGGAACCGCATATTGGAAAGCAGTGATGAAGAGAGTAGTGATAGTAGTGCCAACCATAATGCAAGTTCTGATCGACCTGAGCTTGTGCAGCGTGCAGGCACAGGATCTCACGAATTACTTGTTAAAGGAAAAAGTGCACAAGGCAGATTTAATGGGAAACCACAAAGGAAAAAACAAAAAGCAAAGGGTCGGCGATACGTCGGGGGATATGAGAAAAGTGGAGAAGATGCTGATGCCATGTTTATTCAGCCGGAAGGGGACCCAGCTGAGCTTCCACAAGATGTCATACGAGAAACAGGGTTGAAGTTGGCGAGTACGAAGAAAGAGTTAATGGGTCAACTTGAAGAAATATTTGCTCAGCAGCAGAAAAACATGGCCAGCTTTCACGACGAGCAGAATATGGTGAACCAGCAACTCAAGAACCTGGTGGAGATGTCCTTAGCTGATCTTCGTGATCTATATACGAAGGTGAGATTGATTGTATTTCGACGTACTTGGACCGACATTCATTCTTACCGTGTGTATTGTGTGGACCAAGATATGCGAATTGCGAACATTTGTGACGAAAACATTGGTTAACGCAGGTGAAGACGCGATGAACAAGATCATCGATAGTCTCCACGTGAAGCATGGCAAGCCGGTAAAGTGGTCGATAGTACATATTGTAAAAAATACTTGGCGGCTTCTTACATGCACTTGTTGCTTCAGCCTGGTGCACTTGAGCATCTAGAGTGCAATATCGATGTCTGGCAGATTAAATTAAATGAATGCTCTTCATGGATAAAGAATGCTGAGAGCGCCGTGGAAAGTGCGTTTGCAAGGCGGGGAGAAGAAATTCCGCAAGAAGATGAAGCCCACGCTGCGTGCTTATCAGAAAGCGGTGAATCCAGCTTCCCCATGGACGAATATGACGCAACGACTTTCTCGTCTGAGACAACAAATGTGGGTGATTTGCACTCTGGCTATCATGAGCTCGATTTGTCGTACAATTACGAACATCTACGAGAGAATAACGGCACTTCGAAACAGCTGAGCGGTCGATCTGAACGCACATCGAAAGCAAAACTACGTGCATTAAAACCTCCTCGCACAGCATCAGCTTATTATCGGAAGCATGTGGCACGAAATACGACTCTTGACGACTACTTTCCGCGGCAAGGATGTAGTAATGGCCTCACATCAAATGTCCGACTCGCTGGAAGACAAGAAAAAATTCTTCCATCTGATCCTCGCTGGAATTGGCTTAAGATGGCTCGTAAGAACCTGCAACGTATTGGAAAAACAGCTTTGCCGTCACCAATTAGTTTCTCTGATGGCATTGAAAGTGCTCGCTTGATCAAACGCTTCACAAATATGTCGAGTCGTAATGACAGTACATCTGTTCAAATGCAACTGATGCGCCTTCGTGATAAGAGATTTCGTGCGCAACCATCACAGCATCGATCACGTGAATCTTTTCTAGCTTTACGAAACTCGGGTAGCGCTAGCAAATACGTGTACCCAGCTGGTATATCATTTGACAACGTTGACCCAGCAAAGTCATTGCGGGCAGCTGAATCAATCAGTCCTACAATCCATCCGGACTGTTCGAAGCAGCTACCGATAGACTGGGAGACTGTTTTTGAGGTCGTATCCGATAGTACTATCGCGTCCATCTATAAGCAAGATCTTGCGCCTATATCACGTCAAGTACAAGTGACGCTATCAGCGTTTGGCCATGAAATTTGCGGTCCACTAACTCCGCATCACTTGCTTTTCGACGATGAATACACGTTTGAAGACTGCGACAGCATTGATGACGTTGTCAAAAGACGAGTAGCCCGCCTTCGCCAACTGGCTAATGATTTCCGGTTGCAAGAAAGCAGTTACATGGATTCCCTATCGAGAGGGGAGATGGAGGGTGAACAAGAAGAGGGGTGTGCCGCTGCACTGGAATGGGCTTTGTTGGTCTCGCTCGAGGAAGCATACCACACAGCAATTGCAAGTTTTGCTGCTCAGTTGTTGGAAGTTCTGGACGCAGCTTCTCCAATAGTCGTGGCAAACCACCTCCAAGTAATCTTGTATGAGATTGCAGCGCTTATCCGACAGCTGCCCGATTGCGATTCATTATTCACCGGATGCAAAGCATATTTCTTTTTCTTTGAGGTGGCATCCACCGATGCAGCGACGACACCATTTTTGACAGCGGTCTCACGCACATATTGGTATTGTCTAAAACTTCTCGTGGCTATTCAATCTAGATGTAGCCGCTTGATTGGGTCACATGCGATGATCAAGAAAGAGATTGAACATATCTTTCTGACAACATTGCCGGTCAACAGAGTTACGTTGGCTGTAGTGCTCTTCTTGTTTGACCTGTATATCTATCTTCCGTCATCCCATTGCTTGAAGGACAGAGATGAATCGTTGAGTGGTCACCTCCCAGCACTTTCTCTGTGGATGCTGGTTCGTAGTTGCTGTACGAGTTCGATTGGTCTGGATCAACCCCAGCAAGAATCACTTGCGACGAAAGAGAAACACGTCTGGGCTTTACTGCAAGCGGGATACCGACAACACTATTTCGATAAATTAGCTTGGCGATTTGTGCGAGGTGAATCTTGTGGAGGATATTTACAAGACTATGAGCCAAAAACTACCGATCGCAGCACCATTGAAAACTGTAACGAGGTCTTGAAGAGCCAGTTGCTGGCGTTAGAGGTAACCTGGAACTTACTGGCTGTGCTAACACGTATTTATGCAGATAATCATGACAATGAACACGAAGAAGCAGTGTAAGAAATTGTTGCACAGTTATTTTGGAATGCCAATCTAAGACCATGTGCAAATTGCTTTAGATTGTCATCGGACGGATGTGATGCAAAGTGGGCTGTCGTTAAAGACCTTCTTCACCCGGGCAAACAGGATTTTCTTCCATTTGAAGTGTCTGATAGGGAATGGACTAGTTTGCAGTTACGTTATCGCCAGTTTGCTGGTAGGTTCCTCCGTCATCAAATTGGTTCATCGAGCAATACGAGAATGCTAATCATATTTGACAGATGTATACAAGCAGCACGTATTACAGCGCATTGCTCTATTTTCAGACATGTGGCTTCCTTGCAAAGGTATGATGACTCGCATTTGCTGTTTGGGTCGAGCTTGCTCCTTACTAGCACGTATCTTTCGACAGAGGTCATCGAGATTATTCTGCGCCAGTTATCGGATAACGATGTAGTGCATCACCCAGATAACATTGTTGAACTGCCTCAGTTTCTGAAGCAGTTTATCACTCGATGCAAAGAGCTTGGAAACTCAAGGCCAAGCTTGGCTACTTTTGCTACCGAGACCAGCTTTGATAACCCAGACTCAACAACAATGCTGTGCAAGATCATTTGGGTAAGCAATGTCGTCGTCATACACTCTCAATCGCATCGACTGAACATGATTGGTATTACAAACAGATTCAACTCTTGAAGCTTGAAAAGCGCGTTCATCGCAGCCGGTTCCGGCGCTCGGTTCTCAGCGCGATCCCAGATGTCCCGGACAACGACGACAATTCTACATCTAGTATAGATGCACGGTCTGTATCAGCTCAACAAATCTTGCTCAAAAGAAAATCAGGAATGGATTGGAGCTGGGGCTCGCAACAGCAAACATCGGCTAACATCCAGCCTGCTGATCAACCTATGGCAGTGTCGCAACGAGCTCCCACGAGTTCTGAAGTAGAAAAGGTTCGGTGTTCCATATGCCTTTGTTATCTCGATTGTCCGCTTAATACTATCGTTATTTCTTACTCTGGTGCACAGAAGCGAATGAGTACAGCAGTGTTGCTTACATTCGCAATTGTTGGAGTCTGTTTGGAGTGTGGAGACGAACAGCAGTTTCCGATTCAGCGATCCGATAAGGATATCAGATACATGGAACGAGAGGTAGACTTTTATTGCAAGGAAATTCTCCGTCGGATATCGAGGAAGCCTCAGTGTGAAGTGCTTGCGAGCCAAGCGCTCTATACACTAGGTGTCCTGCTGTTGGAAAAGAACTCTTCCGAATTCCCTGCAGTATTTTGGGGCCTCAATGACAGGCTCGAGTCTTCCATGAAAAATTTACACGCTAGTTCCTGTGTCTTTCCAAAACAGTCCGCAGAGAACAAAGTGAACGCTATCAAAGCACGTGATATGGATAGACGTCGTCGACGATTTCAGAGTAAGTTTCATAATGACTCACGACAGTTCTCTGGACTGATAGTTGCTGGCTGTTGTTAGGTGCTACCATGTCCTCACTCTACCAATTGCGTGATCTGATCAAAAAAACACTGGAGATACCTTTATCCGGTGTGAAGATTGGACCTGCGTACGGATGTGCTGTTGAAAAGTGTCTGGAGTATGTTTTTAGCTCTGGCATGGAGGCATGCCTGAATGGTGCTGTTGAAAAGTTTGTTGCAGTTAATGATTTGAAGATTGCGATGGAGATATTTCACCTTGTCCTCCCGCGTTCGCCGGATAAGCCAAAGCAATGCGTTTCAAGTGAGTTTGATGACTTCACTGACGAGGCATTGGCGACCTTTGACCTCGAAGGTGCGATTGCTGGACACAATTCTCCACCTATTCCAGCATGGGCAGTGCATGAGTGCCAACACAAGGCGATTCAGCTAATCACACGCAATTTGCGAGTAGTATTGCAGCAGCTTGTACTCAACTACCCTCCAAGTGACGTTCCAGCGTTCGACGAACTCTATGCGATTGATTTGCTGGGTATGATTATTTCCACGAGTGGGGCACAATTTTTCTGGAGCAATGTGACATCTACGTCAGTGAAACACAGAAATCTTGCATCACGTGTGTTGAGTGCTGCTTTAAAGTACAATGCCGATAAGGAATGGCTTGGTAGTGTGTTTTTAAGAGAAAGTGGAGCCGATCGAGAACTCGTCACTGCGTGGCTACTGGGAACATTGGATGTTTCATCACTAAATCCTGCACCGATCATTTTCGAGGTGGGTGATGTACCTTTTTCGGTTCGACATGCAACGCCGTCTCATGCAACAGGAGCAAATACAGCAGTGATTCCCAGCGCCAGACTTTCCGACTCTTGGGTCATGCTTACGGATGGAATTATCTATCAAATGCTTCGCAAAGAGCCAAGGGAGTTTCGTAATATGGATCCACATATATGGCAGATTTTGCGTGGTGTAGCATCTACGTGCAAGTTTCCGACAGAAGTCTCTACTAATGAAGACGGAATCCACGATGTTTCGAAATTGTACGATTTACATCTGGACGTATTTCAGGCATTTTGTAGAAGTGCTGGTAGTATATGGCGCTTGTACAGTGCTTCATCTGCAATAAACAGGGACGAGAAGAACCAGTTTCGTACAAAGATGGTGAACCAACAGTTAGGAATCTTCGTATCGTTTATCGAGTGAGTTGCTGATGTCGTGTTTGATGCTATCTTATCTTCTTTCTCCGCTCGTTTCTTACTGCTAAATGATCTTGCGGTTTGTGTTTTTTACAGGGCGTTCAAAATAAATTTTAGGCGCGCCTGTGGCGAGATCGACCAGATAAATCACAACTGGCATTCTTTTTCCGAGTTGTTTCTTCGCCAGGCTGGAGTGGACATCACTAATGGACGTTCATACCATGAAATAGATGATACGATAAAGTCTTTCGACGAAAGGCTTACGGGGTTGACGACAATGTTTCGGTTCATGTATCAATGCATGGATGCATTTCTCTTCTATTGTGGCGATATGGCGATCGGAGAGACTAATCTCTTTCTCGACGCAATGGAGATACTATTCCGTCAAGTCAGCAGCGCTGAGTATCCACAGGCACTAAAGCGTTTGGAGGATCAGCGACTATTGGGCCACAGAAAAAGGATGCGCAACGTGAACGATGATCTACGTCAAGAGTTCTGCCCTGCTGCTGTAAGGTTTGTCGACAGCGTTCAACTGTTTTTCGCGCGACAGAAGTATCCGAGCTTGCTGCATTGGTTTGCACAGGTACGCTTTTCGCTGATTATTCTTTTATTTTTTGGTATGTACTGCTGAGATAAAAACTATTTGTAGACGTCAGAGATTTACCAGACTTATAAGAATGGATGGCATCGTTCTCCTCTAAGGACGCTATTGATGAACATCTTGGATCCGGATGGGCCTCTCGGAATTCATAGTTACTATGGAATTTCTAGTGACTCCCTAGATATGAGAATAGTTCGCCGTGAAGCATTTTACCTGTCGTGTGGTCTTTTCAATTGTAGATGCACAAGATCATTCGAACATTCTCGAGCAAAACTCTCTTCCTCCTCGTGCGCCCGCCTCCAGCATCTTCGACATTTTGTACTGAACGATTTCATGAGGGAGACATTCGTCTTTGCGCGACAACAAGACGTGACATCTTTGTTGGAAACGATGGTACCTGTGTGCCAGTTCGTACGGGGTGTACTTAGCCACGCCAATTTAAACGTTCATGCCCAACACGCAAACCAAGGTGTTGAATGTACCGGAGATAGCCCATCACGCCTAGATTTTCAGCTGCGTGAGCTCCAGCCATGCTTAGAATGGATGGTTGCATGCTTAATCAAGCTTGTACCTGGTGAAGAAGCAGTAAACGACGCTATCAGGTGCGTCGCTTCTGTAGCTCGTGCGCTAAGCCATTTTTCGCTAATTCTTGTGTTGCATTACGTCGCTGTTGAATGCAGTTGCGTGTTAGTGATCGAATTATGTGGAATCGTGTGCGAAGCAGTTGCATTTAATGAGCACGAACCGATGCTGGAGCTGATTAATTTGGTGGAGCTCGTGGTCTCTTATCTGCAGACAATTTACGTGGCACTCTCAAAGAAGACAACAGCCAGCATTGGCGCTTTGTTTACCACCAGTGTTTGGTTACCACCGTCTGAGAAGCTTCAATCTTATAGTTTCTTTTCTTCGGCCTTCCGTGATATTGTAGTGGAAGAACAAATGGGTCGAGTGCCAAGTCGTCAAATGGACTCGTACGGGATTAGCATGGCTCGGGCAGTTACGGATCTCCTCGCTGCTATCAGGCGCGTGGCTCAACAGTGTCAGGTTTCATCAGACGAGCGACTTCAAAGCTTTACAATGTTGTAGTCGGTGGCATTGAAGATTACTTGATTCGCTAGTATGACCAATTTGTAGGTGCTCAATGAAGTCCATCTCGAGAAGATCCAGGTGATTAGCCAAATATTGTGACCCGAGGTGGAACTGACTGATGATGAGAAGTTGATCGTGAAATAGACTGATATCGTTGGAGAGAAGATGGCGACTGTCGGACTCCGCCAGCGCAAGCCACAGGCGGTGACGGTGACGTCGGAAATGCAATGGAAGCAGCTCATTCAGCAGAATCAGGAATGAAACCAAGCGGTGCGTGATAATGCTTTGCATCGGTAACAGAGAACCAGTATGGCTTTCTGTGTCATTTAACGAAGAAATGGTGAACGTATTGGTGCCACGTGCGACATCACATCAAGTCTCTTTGGTGTGTTGCGTACAGACTGCTCGGTATTGAATCTTGGTGTGATATCTCAGAGCTGCTTCATCTACCGACTAATTGTATGTCAATTCTTCACATACTGACGAAAGATATCCGTCATCATAGCTACCGACAGCATCCTGTACGCCGATTGTAGCCATCTCATCTGCCAACCATACAAATCTCAACACAAAATCCAATGATTGTATCATGAAATATCCAACAAATGAAGAAGACACAATCATCGCAATTCACAATGAAGTGATTAAAATTTCGTCTTCATCAAAAGTCGGAAGTCAGGAAGTCATTGCTAAACAAATGGACGAGTTTGAGGTGCTTTTTGATGGAATTTACGAGCGTGCAAGGGAGATTCAACATGCCCAAGACCCAGAAATGAAGTTGCGGCAGCTACTCGCACCGGTACGCACTCTTTTGATGCAGAAATTGCATCAGGAGAGCAAAGAAAGCGTTGACTCTTTTAGCAACTCAAGCAACGCCTTCTCTGTCGACCCAGGACCTTTCAGTTACATTAGCGGGGCTGCTGCGAAGTTGCAAAAGATGGTGGCACGTTCCCCGCCGTCGCAGGGGCTTTTGAGGCTGAGAAATAGCAGTAAATCACCTGTTAAACCATCTCCGACTTATTTCAATGGTGCGGCCAATCGACTGCAAGCGCTGGTCACAGGCAACAAGACACTGTCAATTGAGACAATGATAGGGAAGCAGGAGCACAGTGAAGCAGTTGTTCGTATCCAGGCACTCGTGAGGGGCAATTCTCAGAGGCAAACACTAACAAAACAACATAGTCTGATGGTCCAGGGCACTAAGGTGAGAGAAGAAGGAGGAAATACAGTAGAGAGAGAGAAGTAGTTGATGATGATATTATATTCTTGTGGTTTTGGTGGTAGGTGCTGAAGAAATACGTCCTAAAGATAGACAGAATTCCCAATTGTCATGAGTTGGACACACCTCATGGAGAAGTAGCACCGAATCTTAGACGGTTGGAAGGCACGCCATTGTATGGATCTGGTCAGCCATCGCTGGTACGAAATACAGTTGATGGTAAGCAAACGGGAAATGCTGACAGTTCTTTGTTGTTTTTTGATGCTGAGTAGCAGGGAATTCAGATGATTTTACGTCGAGTAGCAGCGGATGGATTTACGAAAGTGGTGTGGGTGAATTTGAGAGGGGTATGCAAGTTTTTGTTGTTGGTCAGTGCATTTACGAGTGGTATGGTTGCTGATGCGTTTGACTATGAATACAGGAAGCAGTAATTTATGTCAACGGCCTACCGTTCACGGCAAGACGCAGTGCAATGCTTAATGAAAATGATCTGGTTCCTGGAATCACGGGTCACAAAATTCAGGTCTTGGAATCGTCGCTGAAGAGCAGTCTACAGGAAGAATTAGAAGCAGCGAACAACTGTTTCGAGTTCTGGAACGAGGTTGCACTGAGAGAGAATGAGCCGGTCGTGGACACAGCACTGCCAGGTCACGTGATGACGTTGCCTGAACTGTATGAAAGCACTGAAGTGACAAAGCACAAAGAAACCATTCAAAGCGTGTTGTACCGGCGAATCCCAATCGAGCGCGAAAACGCACCGGAACAGGAACATGTAGAAATGATAATGAACCTGATGGATGTAAGTGAAGGCGAGAATTCTACTGCCTTTGTCTTCAACTGCCAGATGGGCAAGCGCCGCACAACAACAGCAATGGTAATTGGAAGGCTTATCTGCCAGCGACACACAATCCATTTAGCTAATGTGATGACCAATGTGCCATCGACTGAAGAAGAGCCTTCGCACAATGTCGAGGCTGGTAATTTTGCGGTTATCCGCGAGGTGCAAAAGCGTCTAAAATACGGTCGAGAAGCAAAGCGTTGGGTGGATAATGCCATCGACGAGTGTGCGACGATCTGCAACATTCGCACCGTGATTGATGAATACCGCAATCTGTCACATGCCGAAGCCAAGCCTGCAAAAAGATCGTATTACCTGCACCACGCGATGAAGTTCCTTGAGAGGTATTTCTACCTCATTGTTTTTGGTGCATATATGATCGAAATCCACCAGAAACCGAGCACAGGTGAACCCGCCCCAGACACCGTTGATGGAAACACGCAGCCAACGTTCTCGAAGTGGCTACAGCAGCACCCGGATATGTTCCGCCTGCTGGACGATTTAGGTGGAGTTCGGTATAAATATGACAAAGTGCTTACGAAGTGTGTGCTGAAGATGGATCACTTTTTTGGAATCGCGCGAATCCCATTTGAGTTGACGACAAACGTTCTAAATTACCGGCGTATAGCTAGCGAGCCAATTTTTGGTACGGCTCAGTGCCTGGAGAATGGTATTATCGATGTGGTTGAACATTTGCGTGGTGAGTTCGATCGTGCGATCTGGATTAATTTGCGAGAGGAAGCTGTCATCTATGTCAGTGGACGGCCATTCTGTGTACGACACCAGGACGATCTTATGGTAAACGTGGAGTATCCGGGTATTGAGGTGGGCGAAATTACTGCAATTGAGCGGCAAGTTAAGCTCGAGCTTCAGACTAAGGTCCAGAAGGACAACGGACTATTCATGTATTGGTATGAGCCTCGTGAGATGGTAAACGATGAGATGATGGAACACATAAACCCGCAGGCTGATGTCAAGACCCTCACTGAAGTGTATGAGGAAGTGATACAACAAACAGGATTTAACTTGCGCTACGCACGTATCCCAGTGTCGGATGAGACGGCTCCAGAAGAGAAAGATTTGGACGACATGGTGCGTTTGCTGCTTCCTTCATTTCTGAATGAGCTCGGACTTCATCTTCCTTCAGATGACGCACCTTTGCCAGCGCAAAAGAAACTGAAGACGGCAGTCATTTGTAATTGTCAAATGGGGCGGGGTCGCACTACAACCGCCCTTGTTTGCGTGTACATGCTTCGCGTTGTGTTTGAGGACAGTGCGTCATCGCTACTCACGTCCTCGGATACAACCAGTCTGCTAAAACAATTGCTTGGCAGTAGGACCGAGGGCCATCGCCGCCACTCCGCTGCAATTACAGGAGAATTTGTAGTAATTTGCAAGCTGCTCAAGACGCTGGATAACGGATCCGACTGTAAGCTGCTGGTGGACTATGCTATCGATCAGTGTGAACACATGCAGAATCTGCGGGATTGCATTTGCCAATGCCGCGATTTGGCAGCGGACCGTGATCTTCCAAGCACAAAGCGCGACTTTTTCATGCTGCGTGCGGTAAACTACCTCGAGCGCTACTTCTATCTTATATGTTTCGCGTCATATGTACTTGAAGAGCGTGTACACTACTTCCAGCGTAGCCTGTTTGTCACTTGGATGAAAGAGCGTTATGGCAGTGCGTTGTATGAACTGCTTGACAATCTGTGCTTTGAGGAAGAAATTGGCGCCGAGACGCACGTGTCATCAATGCGCTGGCGATGGCGTCGTAAACGCAAGCTTGTGTCTCGACTCGAATAAGCAGCACTATACAGGTAGGGAAATGGTATGCAGCATTGGTCGGCGGCCTTCAAGCGAATTAACGATGCTGAATTTTCCTACACGCAAAGGGTCCGAGCAAGCAAGAGGCTCAAAGCCTTTACTAAAGATGTAGTGTCTTGGAAGTGTATGGATGTAGTAATGAACGAAGCTGAATCTTGTTGGTGATGGATATGTCTTGCTTGAAATGCTCGTGTCATGTTGGTTGCAAGAAAACAAGAACGAGCTTTCTCTAGCTAATCCCCAAAGCGAGCGAGATACCAAAATAGTTTAACGGATCTGTCGCCGCATAAGTGAAGTCCATCGGTTTTGATAAGAGACAAGTCACCACACTAGACAAAAAGTAACAGCTTTAGTCAATGGAAGCATGTTTGTCCTGTGGCCATTTTTACTACCTGCTTCTCATCTCGTGGCTTACTGCTGCTCCTGAGCACGACGTGCGTTACTGATAATATCCAGCAAACCACCGACGTTCTTCTTATACAATTGAAGTTTCGCGTCCATTTCTTTCCACTGCTCGATTCCGAAACGACGGTGCAGCGAGGATGAAATGGTCACCGTACGGGCAAGCTGGTCAATCTTTGCATTCACAAGTCCAGCCGTGATTGCGCGCACAACCCACTCCTCCACATTCTCCTCTTTCACATCCAGAGCCGTGGCCACGTCAGTATAAGATATTTCCTGAAAGCCCGTTGGCAATGAGCACAGCGTAAATAGACGCATCGTATCCACCAATTCAGCCTCTTGCAGCCCGTTCTCCGTAAACACACCATTAGCACTCTTTTGAAAAGCAGCAAACTCCTTTAGCGTCTTGGTCGATACAATTTCCAGCAACTCCATGATCTCATCACCCTTCAACGAGGTTTCCACGACTGCTAGTCCAGCCAAGTCCACACGGGCTAAAAAACTAGCCACAGGATTCTGTAGCACAATTTTGGATGCACGCAGAGCTTGTTCCTTGTCTATTTGTCCTGTTTCGTATGTAGCCAAGTACTTTTCCAGCACAATGAGTACCTTTAGTTTATCCTCACTCTGGTCGAGTACATTAGCTACCGCCAATAAAAGACCACGACGGTCTTCGACACTCAATTTCCGCGTGTCCAATAGAGTTTCTGCTTGTGTTAAGTAAGGGACGACTAGATTGACATTGTCGGAGCTCAATGCAAGCGTCAGGAGGTTCAAAAGCGCCTGTAGCTGCACTTTGGGCAGCGTTTTGGCCTTATTGAACAATGTAGCAATAACACGAAGACGTAAAACAGGACTGGCTTTGCTCGTATCTTGTACGACCTGTAGAATCTGTAGAAACTCGGTCTCCGGCTTGGAAATCTGCAGGATGACATCAAATAGGAGGGAGAAGGCACCTTCGACGTCATTCTCGGCGTCTAACGTCAGCAATTGAGGCAATTGAGGGATCACATTTGCTAGGACGGAACTAAAGTCTTTTTTCTTAATTTCTAGTGATAGATCGGGAAGCGTGGCGCTTGGCAGAAGCTTCGAGACGTACGTGACGAGGTCCGAAGCCATGACAACGATGAGGTCTTGGGTGGATTGTAGTGTTAGCAGAGCCAACAGTTTACAGAATACTTCTGATTGGTGGAAAAGTGTGTTATATGAGGAATAACGGAAAACGAGTGGTGGAAAGTAGACATTACGAATTGACATTGTAAAACCGTTTATATGGATATGGACTAGAGTATAAACGACTTTATTTTTCTCATTTCTAAATGAAGGTCACCTTCGTACAACTTTTGGACGATATTTCTATTTAGTCGCGATGATATCGGACGTCGTCCTGCTGGTCATCTCTCTTGGAGGCCTGGTCACGACGGTGTTTCTCGTGCTCTTCTTGACTGGATTCTTCTCAAAACCTAAAGTGCGTTCTTCTCTCTGTTGTATGTGTGATTTTCAGTCTTCTATGCTCTCTTTAACCAGGTAAAATCGTTTCTAGAAAATAGCAGATGAAAATCAAGCAGAAGTGCTTCGGGGTGGCGAGAGAGGAGGTCTAGCAGCACTACGGAAGCGTAAAGACAGAAAGAAACGTAACATAGAACGAGAAGTAGCTGTTGCTCCTGTGGATGCCGCTGTTCCGGCTCAAAATGAAGCTGTAGAGGCTGCTAGAGACGATGAAGGACCATTAGAGCCGTAAGAAGATCGAATTGCTCGCTATGGGAGCATAAAAGACTGATATTATTGAGTATTTGGGGTCATTTCTAGGAGAGTTATGACCAAGAGAGAGATGCAGAAGGAGCTGAAGCGTCGAGAACGTGAAGAGCTACGTCAGGTATCAATGCGAGATGACACGAGCATGAATTTGAGACGTGATTTTACTAATCATTGCTATTTTTGTGTTATAGTTTGATCAGCAGCAGCGTGAAGAGCGTCAGCGGCTTGTGGAAGAGAAAGAAGTGGCATATCAAAAGAAACGTGAAAAGGAAGCGAAGATTGAACAGGCATTGGAAGCACAGGAACGGAAATTGAAGGAGGAGAAGGAACGTAAAGACAAGGAGGAATTTGACCAGTGGAAGGACATGTTTACGATTGAAGAGCAAGGCATGAAGCTGCCAGAAAACAGTGAGGAGAGTCAGATGCTATTGCAGCATTTTGTCGACTATGTCAAGTCGCACAAGGTGGTGCTACTCGAAGACCTCGCGTCGGAGTTTAACCTGACTACACAGGATGCTATTGACCGTGTTGAGTCCCTGCAGATGTCAAATCGTCTCACGGGTATAGTGGATGATCGTGGAAAGTTTATTTACATTACTGAGGAAGAGATGGACAAGGTTGCCATGTTTATCCAGCGATGCGGTCGACTGGGATTTGCTGAACTATCGAAAGAATGCAACAAGCTGATCCGATTAGACGGAGAAGCTGACAAGAACACAACAATATCCCTGGACTGGCTTAACAGCGAAGAGGAGCCTGAGTGAGCTGTTACTGACTTTTCTACTTGAAGGTCACAATGAGATGAAGCTCAGTGTAGCAATTGGAGGCGGTACAATTTGCTACGTATAATCGTGAATCTGAGATGTATTTGATGATAAGTGGAACGAGTGCATCTGATTGCCACTTGCTTTTGTATCGAATTTCCATTAGGGTATGTCTTCTGATGGAAGCTCGTAGGCGGCGTGTGGTTGGAGAACCGCTTGACGCATTCTTTGCTGATTCTCCACTTCTGCTCTTGAGCTCCAGATACTCAGCCTGCTTTTCAGCTACACTGGGAGCCTTTCTTCTTGTTGACGCAATAGATTGGACTGCGTACCGCGTAAGCGAAGAGCTCAAGCGTAAGCAGTCTCAAGCTCTTCTCGATGCTCGCTCACAAAGTTATTTTTGTAATTCTCCCCGTCGTTATGCAGTACATCGTGTTCGCCTAGACTTTACCCTTCATGTCCCTACTAATTTTGTCGTGGCAACGAAACAAGTCTCTACTTTTGTCTTCATCCGCCTTTTCAGCATACGTTTCTACTCGATGATGGTCTCAGAACGTACCCTATAAACCTTTCTGATCGTATGATCTCGCAGTCATACGCGCAAGGCAATGTGACTTTGAAACACCATACACACATAACATTGGACCGTGTCTTCGAGTGACCAATTTCATTTTATTGTAAACAGTTTCTTCGAACTCCGCGGAGTGAGTGGCCAAGATGACATGCACTTTGCAATCTGAGAGCGCTACAACGGAAAATTTCCAGCCTAGAATCCCAACCACTACCTGTCGACACCTTTACTCAGTCTTCTTGGTCTTTTCAAACGCCTCTTTCTCGTACTTTTCAATTTTGCCCTTGAACAGCGTCGGCAGCAAGGCCACAAATTGCAACAAAAAAAGCACGGCAAAGTTGACGGCATTGCTACCACTCGACACTCCAGCAGCACTATTCAGCGTTGCACCCGTCGAGATATGCAAGAAGTTGGCTGGGATCAAACCAATCAATGTAGCCATAAAAAAATACTTGAACGGAACGTCCACCAACGGACAAGCAATGTTGACGAACCAATTGGGCAATAGAGGCGTAATCCGCAGGAATAGCAAGTAGTAAAAGAGGTTCTTCTGGTTTTGGGCGATTTTCTCCTTAAAGCGGCCCATCATGCCAGCAAACAGTCGACTAAAGACTCCACGACCTAAAAAGTAGGACAGCATAAAGCACAACGAGGCACCTGTAGTAGCACAAAAAGCCACCAATATCTGGGCCTGTAGAAATGGGTACATGGCTCCAGAAAGAATGCTTAGCACAATAGGACCAGGGATGGCAAAGGTCTGCAGTGCAATGTACACGATGCAGAAACTGCTGAGTACAAAGACCGAGTGGTGCTCACGGTACTGACTCGCACACTGCCATAGTCCCTGGACAGTACCCATTTTATCATTGCGCCCATTTAGCCAATTGGGTAATACTCCTTGGATTACATAGGAGACAGAAATAGGGGCACATTCTGAGCTACATTTTTAACAATCATTTTTGACAATCATTTTTGACACATTAGAAATAGATAAGAGTAAATGAGATATGGTGAGAAAGAATACGTACAATTTGGCTTCAGGTGCAGACTGGAAAAAGAAGTAAACACCTATAATGGCGCTCAGTACAAGTACAAAGAGTAGTGACGCATGCGTGCGTGACTGGGACGCAGGTTGCAAGGCCATGGTCAAAAACTAAAACTGAATTGATGAATGTCAAATTGGCGGTTCGGGGTCAATTTTAATATTCAAAATTGTCTTTTTTACATTTCGTATTTTTTGCTTAAAAATCGCCCTGTAACACCCTTTCTCACACTAAATTATTATTCAAATGCATTTCAACAATACGTACAAAATATTACTACTTGCGATAACAGTATCAAACCTCAAGTACTTTTCATACCGCTAAGTTTATTAATTTTTAGCTTATGCACACAAGTAAATAGTATTATTTAGCTTTATATATTAAATATTAACTTTCGCACAAGCAAAAGGTATCATTTGGCTTTATAAATTGGATATTAACTTTTGCACAAGAAAAAGGTCATTTGATACAGATCCAGGTTTGCTGCGTATAAGGGCGAGTCCTAAGGGACTAGCTTCTAGTCATCCAAAAATACAGAAGCCTCCCTAGTAATAGAGTCTACTCCTCCATTTGCTTTCTTCTGCCTAAGTGCACAGAAACAAGCCACTCCTGCGACATCGAAAACGCCCCGTCTGTTTCCTGTCCCTTTGCTTAAAAAATCGCATCGGATTTTTCTCTTCGCAGTCGTCTCCATTCCGCTCGCCTTGCCGCCACAAACCATCGCTGTCGCTTTTGCAGTGTTGTCAGTCGCCGTCTTGTTCTTCGCTTCGCCACCACCTTCTCGCGGGTACTGCTAGGTTGTTGTTGCTCCGCTGCCGACACTCCCGTGCCCGTAGACAGTTAGGCGCTCTAAGTTTCGGCTGTTTGCTCATCCCTGATGCGCGGTATTACAGTTGGCGCTAAGTCTTCTCCGCAGGAAATCGACTAGGGTTTCTTAAAATAGAAGAACAACTTGTATTGTAGTAACCGTTAAGGACGCTAGGCCGGACTGCGGTTGCCACTAGAACACCTCTTTTGACGGGAAACTGTTGATTGCGGGCTACTTAACTAGCAAGCAACTAGGCTGCACGAGCATCATCGTCCGAGCATTAGGTACCTTTGACTGGTGTTCGCTTAGGTGCTTTATCGTACTAGAGACGCAGTAGACGATCCCTATCTTTGCGAGTAACATCTCTTCGCTATGTCGATGACTGTTACTCGTGTTACCTCTCAGCCGGGCACTCAACGCTCCTATTCACAGCCAGATCCGCCAGCTCGAACGGCGCCAGCACCACCTTTACGGTCGGTTCCTGATGACTCTCTTGTTTCGGGCCAGTCTTCAGCGACTTAACGACAACCACTATACGGAGATTGACCGTTGCTTCGCAGCTCTTGCGCCATTACGTACCCCTGTAGAGCCTGATCTTTGTACGAGGATGTGAATTTCTGCCGGTCGTCTAACGGCCGAGCATAATATTCATGGAATTCTCGAATCTCTTGCGGCTGATAGTCAGCCAGAAGTCTGGCTTCAGTCTTGCGCACTTGGGAATTTCAATCGGATCCCCTAAACAAGGTATCTCATTCGTCTGCACATCAGATGATGCGCTCCGCCGATTGGGCAGAGTCCAAATTTTGATTTGTGACACAGTCTTCACAATTCGCAAATATTCAAGTTACCATACGCTGTATTCCGTGGATTTGCAGCGGCTGCCCGCTGACGTGCCCGACCTGGCGATCTATGATTGGTTCATCGCACGCGGTGCTCGTCTTATCTTGATTACGCCCACGCAAGTTCTAGGTGAATTGAAGTCGCGGGCACGTACCGTCTACTTTAACTCAGTCGCTTGCCCAGGGCCGCTGTTTGAACCTAATGACGAGCCCCTTCGCGAACTTTTCTTCTTTGAAGGGGAAAGATCTTGCTATGTGCAACATCGGCTTCGTCGCTACAACCGCGTCAAGCCTCCTTCTCTTCGGCCACCTCCGCGACCAGCTATTAAGGTTTCGGATACTTACATGTATATCGATGCTGGCGACGTCTCGCCGGTTGCTGTGCCCACAACCGCATCTTCTTCACACGATACCTCGCTGACGCCGCCTATACGCACGTAACATCAGCCTGATTCAGTGCGCATGCCAGTCCCCCTTTCCCAACTTTCTTTGTCAATCGTGCGTTCTTCCCAGCCTGCTGTTAACACATCGACCATAGAAAGGGATCTTATCTTGGATCGGTATCCACGGACGATCCATCTTAGAAACTGGTTTAATACTCTCAGTATTGTAACGGGGCTAGAACGTACCGTCACTAGCTTACACGCGCGCTTGAGGAAGACTCAAGCCCAAGTATTAGGTATTAAGTAAATTTAATTCTGCTTTTTATTTTGGTTTTAATTCGTACTAATTACGAAGATTTTAGTGCGAAGACGGCCAATTTGACGCCACCAGACGTGGCGTCCCCATTAGCTCGATAGACTGCGCAGACATTGATTGACCCGTCTTCGGGTAAGCGTTCACCTACTGCCAACTACGCGCCGATTGAGTCGGCGCGACCAATTGATGACATGGCTGTGTCGGAATTTATACTCCAACGTCAAGCCATCACCCGGTTTGTACGCGATGCACTACGGTAGACCAACAGAAGGAGAACGCTGACAAGCATGACAGAAAGAACATGAGCAAGCTTGAGAAAGGTGATCGTGTATTATTATCGACGGAAGGTTTAAGGGATTCAGCGGTCACTAACCTGGGCGCGAGTAAACTCGCGCCACGCTTCATCGGTCCATTCAAGGTTCTGAAGGCAATTGGCGACGCTTATACACTCGACGTCTCTTCTTCACTGCGACTCCACCCGACATTCTATGTCGGGCGGCTGAAGGAATACTGTCCGGCTACGCTTCACGGTCTGGCTCCGACGCCGGCTTCAGAGGTCCGTAAGTCGAGCGGCCTTCCCGTCGTGCTCGACGCACCGATGACATGGGGCGGGGCCTCGATCCCGTCTGGACCTGACCAAGCACCTGGCGCTCCAGAACCCTTATCCGTTCGAGAAGCTCACGGTTCGACTGCCGGTTCTCACTCGCAGTCTTCTCCGCCTGGGCAGCACGTTCACTGGCAGCCTCAGCCTCCAGCTGATCATCGACAGCTATGTTCACGGCCTGATCAACATCGTCCTGGGCAACCAGACGCCAGAATTACCATCGCGAGGGCCCTCCTCCGCTTGTTGATGCGGAGGGACAGGTGCGCTGGAGTGTAGAACGCACTGTGGGTCACGAGGACCCTCCACAACCAGCACTGCAGTCGGTTCATAAGAAGCGCGCGGTTCCATCCGTGCGCAGGTACCGAGTACGTTTGCTTGTATTCCCTCCCGAGCAGGATACATGGGAACCACGTTCCTCACTCCTTCGTGACGTTCAAGATGTGGTTCAGTCGTATGAAAGCCACAAATTCGGGCTATTCCAATGCGGGCGAGCACGCGAACGCTCTCGTGACAAACGAGAGTGGTAAGGAGATCCACGTCGTCGAGAACGAGAACGATGACGCGAACGAGAACGATGTCGTGAACGAGAACGACGCCGTGAACGAGAACGTCGTGGTGAATACACATTATCACGATTGCGAGGCGAGAATCGCGCAGCAGGACGGGCAGGCGAACGTGTCGCTGCCCTGCGCTGATGATTCCGCGGAGATTGACTCCGCTGTAGCGAGTGGTGCTGCCAGCGAGGCGCACCACGAATAACTGCGCTCCTCCGTTCGCTCAGACTTCGCTCATACTTTGCAATCCAACTTCGTTCGCGATCACTGAGTGGACACTCAGCGATGTGTCGTCGCCATTCGTCATGAGTTGGGCGTGGAGTCGAGTCACAAGATTGGCATCCTTCATTGACATGGACGAAGCAGAGGCGGTCCTCATTCCAAGAATCCTCACACACTCTTTCGCGTAGCGCGCCGATGGAGTGATCGGCGCGAAGCTCCTCTCGATTGGCGAGCCATAATTGGAAGCTGCTACCATCCTCGAGCATCCATTCCAACGTTGGATGAAGGCACACCAAGAACGTTGTAGAGCTTCATGCTCGATTCCATCAAGACCTTTCCCGCGCAGTTTTCGAAATCGGCGGAAGTAGTCCCACATCGTGTCCAGCGAGTCCGGAGCTCACGCTCCGGACAAGTCGTACAGGGACCAAGGTATGAGTTGCCGCGCCATGATGCTGGTTGTTGCACTCCCTCTGATGGTGCTGGGAAGTGCTGCTGGATTGGGTGTTGGGTCTCCGCACATTGCTTGTTTGTTTTTGAGGGATGGGGTTTCGACAGTTGAGCACTCACAGTTGGTTAGTGCTGTCATGAGAAGGGGGTGATGTAATGGGCTACATTACATACATAGTTAACATGTATAAACGAATACATATGTAGACAGGTGCTGGGCCCGAATAGCGGGCACGGCGTGGCAACTTATTATTGGTTTACTATTGGGGCCTAAAGTCCCAATATGGACCAATGATAAATCAACCTAAAATTGTGTGGTTCCCGAAAGGCGGGAACACTGTCGTATTATTACGCGAGAACGCAAGTTGAACCTCAGGATAGTTGGCCTGAGGTGTCAAGTAAGTGTCAAGACTCTACGACCCGTTACAGGAAGCGGTTTCCCTACGGGGAAGAACACAAAGGGGTCCAAGGACCAAGAACAGTCAGCCACCAAAGGGGTACATAGTACCAGGTGATCGCTCTCGACTAAGTCGATTGAGCCCAAGAAACCCGGTCCCAAGTGAAGGATATTCACTCGGGGACCACCAAGTCCAAGTCTTATACAAAGACCAAGTCTTTAAGTCTTCTGCGTCAACCGAGGAGCAAGACCAGCCAAGCCGACGGGTACACAAGGTGAGACCCAAGGCTAACACGACACGGTATCGTGGTACCCCCTCCGTAAGTCGGCAGTCCGGCGCTGTGTGTGTTTGTGGATCTACTACGTTGTTTGAGAATCCACTCCACCACAATGCCAGCTAGCATGTCTTGTACTCCAGCACCACTTGAGCATGTTCGACCTTCTCACGCACGAAGTGGTAGCGGATGTCTATGGTCTTGCTGCGCTTGTGGAACTTCGGGTTCTTGGCGAGCGCGATAGCACCGTGGTTATCCTCGTAGATCTTGACTACTTCCTCTTTCAATAGTTCACCAATCTCACGCAAGAACACCTTTAACCAAACCGCTTCTTGCGTTGCTTCCGACAGCGCCATGTACTTTTCTTCTGTAGATGATAGCGCCACCGTCCGTTGCTTCTTGCTTCTCCAGCTGATACATCCGTCGCTCGTCATGAACGCGTAACCACTTGTACTTCGTCGTGATTCGATGTCAGCGGCTTAACTCGCATCCGAGTAACGTTGACCCCCGTTTTTATTGTTCGCTTGGAGCTCTATGCCATGTGTCTTGGTTCCTTGAATGTACCTGAAGACCCTTTTTAGTGCTTGCCAATGAGTTGGGTACGGTCTGCTGCAAACTGGCTCAGTATTCCCACTGCAGCTGCGAGATCCGGGCGTGTGCCGACCACCAAGTTCATGAGACATCCCACTTCGTTTCGATAGGAAACGTTCGCCATTGTTTGTTCATGCTTGCAGCCTCCTTTGCGCATGGCCTTAGTCAACTTGAGCTCTAGATCTTGTAGCGTCTTGACGGATTTACTGTTCTCCATGCTGAACTTACTCATAATGTCTATGGCGAACTTGGTCTATCGAATAGACACCTTTCCCGTCGCCGTATCTTGATCGATCTCCATCCCCAGAAAATACTTGAATTGGCCATGTCAGTCATTTCAAATCGATCACTTAGCGCCTGCTTTGTATCTTAAAGGATGTATTTGCTGCTGCTGGCGAGAACCAAATCATCGACGTAAAGTGCCACAGAAATCATGTCTTGGTCATCTCGCTTTAAGTAGATGTAGTGGTCTGACTCGCACTTCTTGACCCTCATTGTGAGCGTGAACTTATCAATGGACTTGTTCCACATACGCGGTGACTGTTTCAATCCATACAGTGGACGCTTGAGCTTGCACACAAAGTCTGGGTGGTCTTGATCGAAAAGCCATCCGATTGCGCCATATAGATGTCTTTGTCTAAAAGGCCGTGCAGGAATGCTGTCTTCACGTCCATCTAGTGCACTGTGAGCTTGTACTTGGCAGCCAAACTGATCAAAATCCTGATGGATGTAAATTAGGCCACCGGCGCAAAGTTTTCCTCGTAGTCTATGCCGTGGTTCTGTGAGATCCCTTGGCCACAAGTCGCGCCTTGAACCGCTCTATCTCCCCAGATTGGTTTCTATACCCATCTGTTGCCAATTGCCTTGCGTTCCTTTGGTATTGGAACGAGAACCCATGTCATGTTTTGTGAAGCGATGGCATCTCCGAGTCGCACGCCTCCTTCCACTAAACTGCGCCGCTGGATTTTATTGCCGACTGAAACGTAGTCGGAATTTCTCCCACTGAATCCACGACGTAGGCACTCTCATACCTGTCGCTTCCGTCTGCTGCTGCAGACATCTCTTTGAGTGTCTGACGATCACTTTGCGACGCGCAGCGCTTTCTGCTCGGCGTTTCGGTAACGTTTTCCAGTGACTGCGTCCGAGGGTGTCGCTTGCTGCGGGGTGCAAAATTTTTTTCCCGCTCAGCTTCATCTTCGTTTTCGCTTGGAATGAACGAAAAATCTGCATCCGTGGCATCTTCTTCTTCGTGTTGAAGATCCACTAATATCTCTTTTGGTGCGTATTCACGTCTTCCGCCGTTAAAGGCGTCTTCCTTGAGCTGAGCGTCACGGCTTATCAACAAGCGACTGCTGTCCAGATCTTCGAACCGATACGCTTTCTGATGTTCCGAATACCCAAGGAAACGACACCGTACCGTTTTTAATCGAAAATATACCGTTTTTTCATTTGGCACATGCACGTACGCGTGGCATCCGAACACCTTGAGGTTCGACAACAATGGTTTCTTGCCTTCCACACTTGGTACGGGGATTTTTCTTGCCTGATGGCGCGTGTCGGACAACGGCTTCGAAGAAACGTGGCCGTCATCACTGCTTCGCCCCAATACGAGTTAGACAATCCGGCGTGCTCCAGCATACAGTGAGTATGAT